ATCAAGATCCCTCTACTCATGTAGGAGTATTTGTTGTTAATTTTATTTATAAAGCTCATATAAGAAAAAACGAAATCGGGGCGCCCAGCCCCAAACCTAATGCAATAAAAAGTTCATAACCCCTTAAGAGTTCCTTCTGGATACTGATGTATATATATGCCAAGTTTGGTCAACATCCATAAATCCATGTAAAAGCCTTTATGAAACAAACAGACACCACACAAACCCACAAACTTTCAATTTTATATGATATTTATGATATATTATTATGAGACATCTTGACTCTCTGTCTGTCTTCAACTGAATGATCCCAATTTATATATTTTTTTTTTAAAAATCGGACTAGATTGCTGAGTTTTTCAATCCTGTTGACGTGAAATATTTAACACACATCAAAACGAATCAGTTCAATTCTGCGACGCAATATTTATAGAGACTCTTGGAGAGATGTGGTCAAGCAAGCTATTATACCAGTCGGGAAGAAATAAGAGAAACAAGATATGGGAAAAACTTGAAAAAAAAGGGACGCAAGAGAACATATTCTTCAGCTATCGAAGAACGTACGATATCAAAATTCCGTTTTTTTGCCCAGTCCCTACGAATTTACCAACGTGCAGCCCCCCCCCCCTTTTCCCAGCGGCAACAAAATCTGAATGATCACTAGTTAAGTCCTTATTTGTCACAAAGGGAGTTCATTGATGATTTATTTCTACGCTAGAGAAATACATAGCAACCTCTCAAAAAAAGTAATTCGCATCACGACCAAATAAAAAATGTGAAGAAATTGCTCCCTTAACGAGGCGACATTTAGCATAACAGGTTACGCAGAAAGGGGAAGTCCCTTTTCCCCTCAGTTCTGCTTGGAAAAAATTGGCAAGAGATTGTTGTTGAATGCGGCAAGAGAGTGTTGTTGAATGTGGCAAGAGAGTGTTGTTGAATGTGGCAAGAGAGTGTTGTTGAATGTGGCAAGAGAGTGTTGTTGAATGCGGCAAGAGAGTGTTGTTGAATGCGGCAAGAGAGTGTTGTTGAATGCGGCAAGAGAGTGTTGTTGAATGTGGCAAGAGAGTGTTGTTGAATGTGGCAAGAGAGTGTTGTTAAATGTGGCAAGAGAGTGTTGTTGAATGCGGCAAGAGAGTGTTGTTGAATGCGGCAAGAGAGTGTTGTTGAATGTGGCAAGAGAGTGTTGTTGAATGCGGCAAGAGAGTGTTGTTGAATGTGGCAAGAGAGTGTTGTTGAATGTGGCAAGAGAGTGTTGTTGAATGTGGCAAGAGAGTGTTGTTGAATGTGGCAAGAGAGTGTTGTTGAATGCGGCAAGAGAGTGTTGTTGAATGCGGCAAGAGAGTGTTGTTGAATGTGGCAAGAGAGTGTTGTTGAATGTGGCAAGAGAGTGTTGTTGAATGCGGCAAGAGAGTGTTGTTGAATGCGGCAAGAGAGTGTTGTTGAATGCGGCAAGAGAGTGTTGTTGAATGCGGCAAGAGAGTGTTGTTGAATGCGATTTGAAACAGTACCTTTGGAGTCTACAGTTAACGAGATTGTGTCATTGGCCAATGTCATGGGACTCGAGGTGGACAGCAACGAAATTGAAGAGCTCTTGAAAGAGCACAGTCAAGAGTTAGCCACCGCAGAGCTTATGGAGTTGCATCGTTTTTCACAACAAGACATTATGGAGGAGAGCTCATTAATGGAGGAGGAAGTTGCAGAGCGACAATCTTCTGTCGCAATCAAAGAAATGCTAAAAACATCGCAAACTATCGCATCGTACATTGAGACGCATCACCCAAATGAGGACGTGGCTATTCGTGCTACACATTTATTCAATGATAATGCTGTGACACAAATTTTGAAGCGTCGGCAAAAACAAATGTCCTTTAGACAGTTTTCTAGTTGAAAAGCATTAATTATTTGTCATCAATTCATATTTTTATTTACTTTTTTTGTTTCAAATCTAAATTGTTTTCTAAGTTGTTACACTCCTTAACAACTCATAAGTAATTTTAAAACAATATTTAAAAAAAAAAAATTAAAAAAAAATAAAAAAATAATAACCTTGAGTTTTAAACCTAAATAAGGATGGCGAGATAACCACTCCCGAGGCCTGCTTTTGACGTCACGTGACGTCATACGTAGCAACATAAAAAAAAAAAAAAAGAGAACAAAACATTGGACTACCGTAGACGGAAATTTCATATTCAGCACGAGTTATCTGAAGAGTTCAACTACGCTGTGATAGGCGCGCGTTTGTTTGCACGAGGAGTAACATACCGTCGTGCTGTGGTTTCTTCGGTCACCGTGTTGATGCAGATAGGTAGCACAATGGTTGTTCAAACACCGCGTGTGAAATCTCAAACACGCCCTTTTTACTAGTAGCAAGCGTGACGGGAATATAACATGTATTGCACGATTCTATTAATAGAATGGAATTTAAGCCTAGACTTGGAGACGCCAGACATTTTGTTGCCAGCCATTACCAGCTATTAAACAACAAAAAAAAAAAAAAATAAAGAGGAAAACAAACTTGTAGGACTTGCAGAATAGGTATAACAGTATAATAAAATAATAAATATTCATTTAAAGTTTTTTTTTGTTTTTTTTTTTTTAAATTGAAAAAAAAAAAAAAAAATAAAGAGGAAAACAAACTTGTAGGACTTGCAGAATAGGTATAACAGTATAATAAAATAATAAATATTCATTTAAAGTTTTTTTTTGTTTTTTTTTTTTTTAAATTGAAACAAATTGTTATAGGAGGGAACAAATACGCGGTGCTGATTATGACAAAGTTCGTCCTATACCATTATTTCAGGACTTGGCTGACCTGATGACATAAAGGGTTTCATGCCTGCCACCCCACCCCACTTCCAGCCCTCTCACACAATTTTAGGAATTTTTTTTTCTAATTTTCTACATGCTTCCATCGGGGCAAAGGACGCTTCAAGGATTTTTTTCTCGTTTAGTCCTAATTGCACGACAGACTTACACCAACCGGCATACTTAGTTGTGTGGCTATAATTCCCTGTCCCAACATTACAGAGAAAAAATAAAATAATCATTTCAAAAAGTTTCTTAACTTTCTAACTCAGAAACTAAATGCCCCCCCCCCACCTAGATAAAAACTTATTGGGTGGTGCTAGGAATAGTATTGCTTGGGGCATGCAAAGAAATTTGCCGCCACTCTCCCACGAAGTAAAATGTCTGCCGTTGCTAAAAACGCCACCCTTCCATATACAGTTTTTTAAAAAAATGTAGAAACACAGAGCGTACCGCCCCCTCCACCCCCTTCCTTTACTCTTTATTCCACCCCCTCCCATAGTCTTGGCAGTGTCCCCCTTGTCTAGATAAATTTAAAAAAATCGTGATTTCTCTTAGCCCATTTTTACCCCCGTGATGATAAATAACCATTTTCTCAGTCCCACATCTGGGTCAGGTGGTGCGTGAATACCGGTGTAACGCTCGACTTACACAACTTACACAACTTACACAACTTACACAACTTACACAACTTACACAACTTACACAACTTACACAACTTACACAACTTACACAACTTACACAACTTACACAGCCCTACACCTGGATAGAAAACTCTGGATCCAGTTCAGTTGAAAGCTCCATCACTGTTTACATTTATTGCCTTTCTGACGTGCTGCTCTACGACGGATCCTTCACGCCTTGGCTACTTCCAGGTCACTGTTCATTGACGCCATGAAGAAGAATCCGTTCAAACATCCTTATTGGCAATATTTGCTCAAATTTTTCCTAACATAATGCACAAAAAAAAAAAAAAAAAAAAAAAAAAGATAATGGACATATATATATTATATATTAATAGCAGCATGGTAAGGATCAGTTATATCAGTGGTTCAAGGATTTGAAACGCATTGATTGAATGGGAGAGAAAAAAAAATTATATATTAAATGTCATTGCAAATTTTACATTTTGTGCAGAATTCTCTGAGAATCAGCGCATGGGATATAAGTGTTCATAGCACGGCAAAGCTCAAAACTTGTACACAGTGGTAAGCACACCGTTTCTATTAGATAGTTCTCATTTCTTAGACAAAATGATGACCAGTTCCTTAAGTATGATATCGTCGTTTCCAGTTTTATCGTAGACACACATGACAGCATATTACAGTTTATCTAAACATTTCTGTGTATGATTTATATAGATAACTTGGAATTAAGGTCAAGTGTGCCATCATAGAATATAAGAAAATATAATCCATCCACTGTTTCGCTTTCTTTTGTACCAAAATAAATTCAGTTTTGTGTTTAAAAAAACACGTTTTCAGTTGTGAAAATTCAATTTTAACAAAGTTATTATTTTTTTTTATTTGTGAATTAAAAAGTCAGAATTAAAGAAAAAGAAGAAAAAAAAAACAGAAATCTTTCAACTCATATAATATATTTTCATAGGTAAAAAATATTTCTTAAAATTTATATTTAGAAAAAAAAAACTCCACTAAGTTTTCTTTTTGATAATTACAGAAGAAAAACAACAAACGTAGACATGACATTTCACAGCTCAAACATTGTTCTACCAAGCGTTATATGGAACAAGAACTGACGCACGCTAAGTTAATGCAGCATTTATCAGAGCCAGACGTTAGTTGATTTCATAAGTGGATTTGGCTTAGCCAAGATAGCAGAGATAAGAACCACTAGTGATGGATTGCGACTTGCCAATGGATTGCGATTACTCAAGACGGCAAGGATAAGAAAAATGATTGATGGTTTGTGATCATTCAAGAGGACAAAATAAGAAACACAACAAAACAAAGAGTGATGGATTTTAATTTTTTCAAGACCGCAATGATAATGAAAACGGTTAATGTGTTGTGACCATTTAAGACGGCAAGAAGGAGAAAACGATTAATGGGTTGTGAGTATTCAATTCAGGGAAGATGGGTAACACAAGCATCACCTTGCACAGAAGAGGTTTCAGCTACTCTTCGGATAGCTTCGACGGTTCGAACAGATGCTCCAATTTATTTCTCTTGACAAAAGAAAACAATCTCCAAGGGGTAAAAGACCTGCTGAAGACACGGTCCAACGTTAACGAAGCGGACGATTCCGGCTGGACGGCCCTGATGGTGGCCTCGCAGTACTGTCATTTGGGTGTCGTGAAAGTTTTACTCAGGGCGGGCGCCGCCATCGACGCGGTGAACGCCCGAAACTGCACCGCCCTGATGATAGCGTCGTGGTACGCCCGGGTTGATGTCGTCGAGTACTTGCTGAGACGGGGGGCCAAGGTGAGCACGAAGGACAGCGAGGGCTGCAACGCTTTGATGGCGGCCTCGGTGAAAGGTGACGCCAACATCCCCAGGCTTTTACTCGAGAAAGGCGTGGACGTCAACGAGGCAGACGACGCCGGACTGAACCCCCTGATCATAGCCTCGCGTCACGGCAACGAGAAAGTCGTGGAGTTGTATTTGAGGAAAAACGCGGATGTCAATTTGCGCTGCAGGACGGGTGAGAACAGCCTGCTGTTTGCCGCTGCTAACGGTTACACAAAAATAGTCGACATGTTGATTAAAAAAAAGGCGAACATCGATGTAACGAATCAAAACAGTTCTTCGGCGTTGATACTCGCAACTCGAAACCGGCATCACGAGACCGTGAACGCTCTGTTAGCTCACAATGCGGTTGTGAATCAAAGCGAAGGCGACGGTACAACAGCTCTTCTCGAATCAGCAGAGACTGGTCAGACGGGTATTGTGGAGTCGTTGTTACGATTCCAAGCCTCGGTTGATCACCGAAACTCTGCTGGTCGGACAGCTTTGATGCTCGCCGCCCGTAAGGGCCACGTGAAGACTGTTAAACTCCTGCTGAAAGAGAATGCCGATTGCGAACTGATTGATAATGCAGGCTACAACGCGCTCATATTTGCGTCAGATGCTGGCTGGAGAGAAATTGTGAAGATTCTTTTGTTCCGGGGAGCCAGCATCAACGCCATGAACAACGTCGGGTGGACAGCGCTCATGTTCGCTGCTCGAAACGGACACGTCGGCACAGTGAAACTCCTTGTCAGATGCGGAGCGGACGTGTTTATCACCAACAGGACGGGATCGACGGCGCTGATGGTAGCATCTCAGATCGATAAGCCGTCGTCCGTGAAATTGTTGATAGACGTGGGTAATAACGTCCAGGAAGCCAATGCCGAAGGCTGGACGTCGCTCTGCATGGCCGCAGAGAAAGGTTTAGTGGACAACGCCAGTCTGTTAATCGCCAGTCGCGCCAACGTGAACTACGTCAGCAGAAAAGGGTGGACTGCCCTAAAGGTGGCATGTCAGAATGGCCACACCAACATGGTGAAGCTGTTGCTTAAAAACGGGGCAGATGTCAACAAATCGACCTCCAGCGATGTCACAGCTCTAATGCTGGCGGCCAGAAAAGGGCACCTCACTACGGCGGACCTGCTTCTACGACACGGGGCTGACATCAATTTCATCAACGCCAAACAAGAAACGGCGTTAACACTTGCAGCCCAAGCGGGACACGCTCAAGTTGTTGGAGCGATTCTGGCGTTCGGCAAAACCCAGGGTCCAAATTTTTACTGTACGGGTAAACGCCGCGGACTTCTGCTCGCGTCCTGCAACGGACACCATGACGTGGTCGACGTCCTCTGCCACGATGGCTGCGACGTCAACTTCATAAACAAGGACGGCCACAGCCCACTGATCCTGGCCTCAGCCCTGGGACACCAACGGGTTGTTGAGACTTTGGTTTATCACAGGTGTCACGTCGACGTGATGGTGACCAAAAATGGAAGCGTCGTGGTGGCAGACAGTCCGACAGAAGCAATGCGAAATTCTATCGATTCAGACCAGCTCGTCTCAACCACGCCCTTGCACATCGCTACATACTTCGGGAAGGAGGAGTGCGTCCAGGCCTTGATTGGCGGCGGGGCGGATGCCAACAAAGGAAACGGTTACGGCACGACGCCGTTAATGATAGCCGAGAACCGAGAGAGACCTCACATCGCCAAGCTGTTAAAAGAAGCCGGTGCCAGGGATGTGGCTGTAGAAAGACCCCTGGTAAAAGACCCCCTTTTGGGATCTGGTGTTTCGGTGATTGAGACAGTTAAAAACAATGTTAGGAGTTTTGAGATTGGGCTGACCCAATCACAACTGACAACTGTAGCAGAGAAGCGGGCCTGGGCTCTCATGGACTCAATTAGTGAAATAAATATCTCAAGTTAATTTATGATAATAATGGGACGAGACAGTGGTCAGGAAATGTAGAAGGAACAAGTGACATAAGTTACGGGAAAACCCGAAAAAATTAAGGCGCAAAATAAGGAGCTTGACGCCAAAAACCCATCTAAGGATTATTTTAAAAAAAGTTAAAGACAACATTTTTAAAATCAAATATACAGCCACAATGTAGTATACGAGAGGACGGTAAGAGACGACATCAACAGGACTTGTTGTTTGGTTGCGTCCTTTCTTTTCCCCAGGTTGTTCCATACTCTGTTTCACTATTTCTTTCAAGTTAATTACTTTGGAGAGTAGATGTTATTACCGGGTTTACTGTAACTAATAGTCTTGTTTTTTTTTGTTTTTTTTATATTCCATATTTATGATTCCTCCATTATTTTAATTAACCTAGAAATTTGGCGGAAAAGAACGTCTCCATTACAAACACATCCATGACGTTGACTTAGAAAGACTGATTTAGTGACTGGCTTTTCTTTTGTTTGTTCAGTACTCAAGCACAGACTTGTGCTGCTATGAAACATGTTTATCTGCTGTTGCTGTTTGCTAGAAATGAAAATAGTAGTAACACCGTATGTAAACGAAAGCCTGAAGCACAAAACGCAGTCTGGTCTACGTCATTCAGCCAGATATGACCCAACAAGCATGTAGGTGGGGGGGGGAGGGGGAGAATACGTTTCCACAAATCTTTCTATATCATTTTTTTTTCTATTTTGCTTTACGGTTAAAAGGGATGTGGGTGGGGATTTGGGGGGCGGGGGAGAGTTCTTTGAAGTGTGTATCATTTTCTTTTTTGTGTGTTCAATATGATCCTGTATGAAGACCCCTACGAATGATTGAACTAACTGCCGCTACACTTACTAAATGTTTTTTTTTCTTCTAAGTTTCGCAACCATAACGAAGGGAATACATACATTTAGTGCTCTGGAAGGAAATATTTTCATTGATTGAAAAGAGAGAACCTTTAGGATCGTAACATATACTTTTGGCTTAATACAAATAGTAAACATGAGGAAATGTAAAATTATTTTGGTGTAAAAAACAACACTTAAAAGTAAAGGGCTCCTCCGTTCTTAAAATCACCTTCCATTCGCACTCCATGAAATTCCACCATCGGGGCATATGCCTGGACACATGTTGAAAAAACCTGGAATAGACTGATTTCGACAAATGTAAACAGACGGATAGACTGACTCACATTAGCAGAGTGAGGGGAAAGTCAGATGACAGTTACAATGAACGGACTTGAACCAGGTAACATCAACCTACACTTATGGATGCTATAAAATAGAATTGACAGAGGCTGACCTTAAATCATCCAGACAGACGAGACTCGACTGTCGCGAACTGAACTGACTTAAACAAAGACTTGTCTGACGGCAGCAGGACTTGTTGAGATTGACCTAAAATTGGCGACACGGAGCTGTCCAGACGTATTTAAAATCATTGGAACACGTTTTTTAAGTAAGCATTTTCAGTAACATGTCAGTTGATCAACACCACTTCAAGGAAAACATATTTCGTGGAAAACAAACACACATTGACATGGCATGATTGCCAGACAATTCATCGAAATTGTCACACACACAAATTTTGTGTATAAATATTATTGAGCAGTAACATTTTTGAAATCTTTAAACTATAAAACCAACAGTTACTAATAGTATAACTAATGTAATTGCATGTTATCTTTTTGTTTGTCGGAATGAACTTCCTAACCACGAAAGTACAAATCGTGGCCATTTGAAACAATTCCATTCTTACGATTTCAATAATTCCATCAGTTGTGTTGCGATATTTCATTCGTCCCAGAAAGACTTATTGCACATCAATTAGTTGACTGAAAGACTTAGTGCACCATGTAAAAGTTGAATGAAATACTAATTGCGCATCAAATGGTTGAGTGAAAGACTTAGTGCACATTAAATAGTCGAGTGAAAGAATTATTGCATATAAAATAGTTGAGTGAAAGAATTATTGCACATCAAATAATTAAGGGATGGCCAATTATACAATATTTTGAGAGTTTAAAAAAAAAACAACACCTTGTGCCATCTTCAAATGTGAGTATTTGTGCTCTGAAGTCAAACTTCAGTACCAATGCTTCTAGTACTTCAAACTATTTCATCATATCCATTGGAAACGCTGGTGGTCGACGCCCGTTTACACGAATGAAATAACCAATCCACGAATCGTAATGGAAGTCCATCGATGGCCAAAGTATATCTTCATGGTTTTTGGTTTTGTTTTTTTTTTAAATGCCGCTTTAGAACTATCTTGAAACGCCCGAACGATATATTGAACTGAAAGGGTCAGAGAATTCTTGAATTTCTTCTCCAAATGAATTGTCCAAAGTAAATGAAATATCATTTATGACTAAAATCCTCAAAAATTCCTTTATGAAAAGGAATAAAAAAAGATGTTTGCTCAGAAGTCTGTCAATACTGTTGGATGAGTTCCTTGCTTGATGATTTGACCTACAGCAATGGACGCTTATAAGTTGATAACTTTTTGTTTGGGGGGGGGGGAGAATAGTGCTGTAAACCAATGAAAAGAGACATCAAATTTTATTGCATAGATTGTCATCGGTTACGTAAAAAGTGGAGGTTGCAGTTCTAATTTTACCTTCACTAAACCAAAGATCAGTTGACCGAAATGCTAACATTTTTTTTTCGTAATGTGTGGAAAAACGTAGACTATTTGCTCAAAAGCTTTACCATTTAAGAAAAGTAATACATTATTCCACAGAAGATGTATTTATGTACTGACGATGGATACCAAACTTTCTTAAATATGTTGAGCGCCTGGTGTGCATGGTGCAAGATTCGCTTCCTTTCTGATTTGTTTTGATTTCCTGTAAAAAATTCTGAAGACAGTGCCTCTTAAACCAATTATGTAGTCCCATAGACAATTGAAAGATGGGCCATGGCTAAGGAGGGGCCCGTCCCATGAGGTGCTTTTCAATGATCACGAAAAATAGTGGACCCATTCGAAATCCTTTAGGAAGTATTTAAGAAAAAAATGTTTTTAAAAAAGTGTCCCTTTAAAATGAGTAAAAAAACTCCAGAGAAATTTCCTCTTCAATTGTAGAAACTTCGTCCACGCGAAATGGAGTGGATATTATTAACTATAACCTGGATGTATTTCATTCTGGACTTTCAGAGGCTAATGATATACTTTTTTTTGGTTCTAGATGGACAAGTCATGTATATATATAGAGAGAGAGATTTGTACTTGTACTTTTGCAACTTATATAAGGAAATAATACACCTGGTCCCCTGACCACGAAATGAGTCATTTTAAGTGTTGTGAGAATAATAACATAACGCCAATAGAAATTTTGTATTCAAAGGGTAGTGTGGATTTATTATGTGGATTTAGTGTCTGTCGATGTACTCACTGTCAATTATGTCAATGTAGTGTCTTTCAATGAAGTCTCTTTCCATAGCATGACGTTCTGGGCGACAGCAGGATAGTCCCCATCTACGACCTTGACTCGCCCTTAAACTATGAGCAGTGTCTTTTTGTATTAAAAGATGTGTCTTTGACTCTACCATTTGATAACTTCTTCTTCTCCTCTCAATTTATGTAAGCTATCTTGATGAAACAAAAATCGATTTAAGATTTTCATGCGTGCTCCAATAGAGCACAAAATCGCAACTTTGTGCTACTGCTGCTTACATGACCTGGCACCGTCCTATCTGAAAGAGCTGCTTACGCCTTATGTACCCACTAGAGAGCTCCGCTCATCCGATAGTGGCAAACTCTCGACACCAAGTGTTTGCCTTGAGACTTACGGAAAGCGCACTTTCGCATTTGCTGTTCCAACAATTTGGAACGCCCTTCCTGTCGATCTCAGAAACAATCAGACACTGGAGTCCTTTAAAACAGATTTAAAGACACATCTATTTCGCAAACACCTTCTGGGATGATTGTCTACCTTATTTTTCAGTTAATGCATGATGGCTGTGTTGCTTGGGGTTGAAATGGCTAGAAAGACTTTGCCATTGTATGCTAGCAATTAGTTTTTGTAGTGTTGCGTTTGTTTTAAATGTGGTAAATTATAGATTTGTATTTTGTTGACTTTGTACCACGCTTCGAGCCTTTGTGAATGAAGCGTGTTTTTGAAATGAACTTTATTATTATTATTATTATTATTATTTTAGGAGTGTTACAAAAAAAATAAAATAAAAGGTACTCAAAAATTAATGCTAATTTTATAAATTTGATGTGATTACTTGTCCTTTTGTCAGTGTTTATCGTTAAAGAGAACGCAAAGAGCGATACTATCAGCAGACATTATGATTGAATTTCATTGACTATGGACTTTCCACTGACTCGGTATAGTCGTGAAATATTTCACCTTCTTTACCCTGTGTTTGTTTTTGTTATCGTGATGCGTTTAGTAATTAAGTTTAAGATTTCTAGCTTGTTTTGTATTTTGAATCATTTTTTTTTTATTTTTTGGTGTTGTTTTACAGAAATAGTATTTTTGATGTTCGGACGTTCAAGTAGTAAATCATTGAAATTAAACATATACAATACTGTTTCATCTTAAAACTGATCGTTTATTTGTTATTACTGTATGGTTCTGCTAAATTAACATGTTTAGAAATTTATTAAACTGACACTTAATCGACAATATTTAGCCAATTTGTATTTCTATGGGAATTAGTAAAAAAAATATAATTCCCCCAAACTCAAACTTTTTTTTCTTTACAAAAACGTTTTCGGAAGGAGAAGTAAAATAAGTTCAACAATGTATTGCGCTGTTTCAAGTCGCTCCGCTGAAACACATAAGAAGATTTCCATTACTGTTAACTATTATTATGTAGAATAAATGACCCGTTGTTATCGGGATAATAATTGTAGGTCCTTTGCGACAATTTCTACCTGCTACATGCAAAAAAACTCATCACAAGTCCTAGCTTTGAATAGAAGTGTTCGTGTAATGATATTTACGTTTCTAACATCATTAAGTTTTGAGACGAATTTATCTTCTGTGAATTATACGCTTTATCTACGCCCTTTCAGGAATCAAAAACTACATTACCCGAAAGTATCATTAAAAATATCACTTGTCACTTAAGAAGTTATTTAAGAGACGATATCTACGCTAGAGAAACACTTAAGATTTACCCATTTTCCTGCACTTGTACAATAACATTTTTCTCTAAAAATGTGGAAGCATAATCTTAAATTTACAACAACAAAAAAAAAACTCTATATCTATGGCCCATTTATCAAACTGATAAATGAACACTACATGACGATAATTATACGTTAATGTATAGTAAATCGATGCTACATCATGATTAAAAGATGCTTCATTTTGATAAATAGTCACTATCTCATGATAAATAGAAACTAAAATGTAATATACAAACTACAGCATTTAAATATAAATACATTCTCGATATTCAGAGACAAAGACAGGATAAATAAGCACCAAAATAGGATAAAAAGGCACTAGACATGATAAAGGGGCCTACATTTAAAACAAACAGATGCAACATTACAAGAAATAGACGCTACAGTATGATAAATAGACTCTATAGTATGATAAATAGACGCTAAAGTATAATAAAGAAATACTATAAGTACAATACATAGGCTACCTTATTACAAATACACGCAGCTTAATGAAATAATAGATACTGTATGATAAATAGACGCTAGATCACAACAATAAAAAGAAACTACTGTATAATGAATAGACGATACATCATTATAAAATAGATGCTACTGTACGATACATAGACGCTACGTCATGATAAATAAACGGAAAATCATGATAAATAGAAGATACAGTGTGATAAAAAGACGGTACATTATGATAAACAGAAACCACAGTGTCATAAATTCACACTGCAGCGTGATACGTGCACACTACAGCATGATACAGAGTTTATTTTGTCAGCGCCAGTGTGACAGAGTGTACATTAATAAATCAGTTTCAACGATTGTACATTGTTAGTTCAGTCTTATGCAGGGTTTATTGAAGCCTTATAAATTGTACATTGTTAGTTCAGTCTTATGCAGGGTTTATTGAAGTCTTATAGATTGTACATTGTTAGTTCAGTCTTATGCAAGGTTTATTGAAGTCTTATAGATTGTACATTGTTAGTTCAGTCTTATGCAGGGTTTATTGAAGTCTTATAGATTGTACATTGTTAGTTCAGTCTTATGCAGGGTTTATTGAAGTCTTATAGATTGTACATTGTTAGTTCAGTCTTATGCAGGGTTTATTGAAGTCTTATAGATTGTACATTGCTAGTTCAGTCTTATGCAGGGTTTATTTTGTCAGCGCCAGTGTGACAGAGTGTACATTAATAACTCAGTTTCAACGATTGTACATTGTTAGTTCAGTCTAATGCAGGGTTTATTTTGTCAGCGCCAGTGTGATAGAGTGTACATTAATAACTCAGTTTCAACGATTGTACATTGTTAGTTCAGTCTAATGCAGGGTTTATTGAAGTCTTATTAGATTGTACTTTGTTAGCTCCCTTCTTATAGAGTGCACATTATCCATTTCCCTCTTACATTAGCACATTGCAAACTGTAATCGCATCGTGTGTTGATTTTTAGCTCCAGGCTTATCGAGTGTACCTTGTTATTTTCAGTTACAAAGAATTTAGATTCTTAGCTGAACTCTTATATAATGTATAGTTTTAGCTCCAAGCTTTGTAATGTATACTATTAGCTCAAGTCTTATATAATTTATATTATTAGCTTTAGTTTTATAAAATGTATTTTATTAGATCCACTCTTATATAATGTATATCTAACCGAACTTCTTTCTGTCTATTCACCCCTTGGACAGCTTCGCTCTTCCGCAGACACGCGTATTCTGTCCGTTCCCAAGACACACACTAAAACATATGGTGAACGATCTTTCTCTTTCTGCGCCCCCAAACAATGGAATTCTTTGCCACTACGTATACGCAATATACCAACCACTCAGGCCTTCAAAACTGCACTCAAAACACATCTCTTTAAAATTATACTACCCTGACTGATTCCCCTCCTCTGACCGATAAACGATCTTTCTGGCTGCCGTCCATGGTTTGCCTTGTAAAAGTTATGGGGTGGGTGAATATACATTTGTTTTTGCTGTTCTTTGATTCATAAATTTATTTAATTTTAATGTCATGATTATGTCTTTTTTTATAATATTTTTTATGTACAGCGCCGGGAGCCCAGCCCTAGGCTGGGGTACCGCGCTATATTAGACAACTTATTATTGGTATTATTATATTAGTAGCTCCAGTCTTCTTTAATGTATATTATTAGCTCCAGTCTTTCATAATGTATTTTATTAGACCCAGGCTTATATGATGTAAAAGAATGTCTGTCGTTATGTTCATTTGTATTAGGAGGTCGTCGTGACCAGGAAGGGGGGGGGGGCATTCATCATACATTCAACCTCACTTTTTTGTGGGAGCGTGGGGATTCTTGTGCAGCTGTTTTCCTTCGTGATTATTAATAGCGCTAAATAGGTCATGTGGAAAAACCAAAAGGGTTTTCTCTCTATACAATCCTGTCTATGACGTATGTAGAAGGAAGTAAAACGGGGATAACCCAGAGAGAGATTTGACCAACCGGTAACGCTGACATACGACATCCTGTGTTGGCTTAGAGGGTATTTGGCGCAGTCGTTCTGCATGAATGACCTTAAACGTTCAAAGTGCTATTTATTCAATTCCCCATTCACAGTTTCAAAGTAAGCTTTTAAACTAAGCCGGCACACAGGAATTGTATGGAATTTGTATATGATTCGTTCTGGAGTATTTTATTATTATTAATTTTTGTTTAAAATTGTTTTACCGTTAATGTGCGTAAATTGTTTTCCAGTTAATATTGGTATCTAAATCATGTAACTTGTATTAAATAACAACCTATAAACGTTTCTTTCATACATAAAATAATATCATACCAAGGAAAGGAAACGTAACTTTTTTAAAGTTAATTTATAGAAAAATGAAATTCTTTCAAATTAAATAAACAGTTTTAGGTCAAACGATGGTATCATGTTAAGTGAACTGAATGTGATGTAATTATAAAGTGCACACATTTTAGATGGACTTTCCTATTGTACGAAAAATTCAGCAGGAAACATTTGAACATCATGGAACTCAAACAATTATACCCTAAATTACATCTTCTATGAGATGCTTCAATAATTCAACTGGTTTTAGTGGGCTATATCCCTAAATACTTAAATAAAAAGGATAAAAAAACTGTATGCATGTATCTGAAACAAACTTAATTCTTTGTGTTTCATTTCAAAAAATATTTTACCAACTCTTTGCCAGTTTGAAGTCTGAGCCCAGAGACATCTATTGAAACAAGAGCATAGGAGAAGTATTGCATCACCATGATTGGTATCAGGGTCAGCAATGAAAATATCATCGATCACAAACACAGATGCAACGACAAATGCCGACTTCTTGTGCTTCATGCGAAAACAAAAAGTGCATCAGAAGTTGAGGACGTGATTAAATCCGGAGCTGACGTCAGACACACACAGGACGATGGAAACAGCGCCCTCTCGGTGGCAGCCGAGGCGAACAATGAAGGGGTGGTCAAGGTCCTGATCTCCCACGGTGCGGTTGTCGATCACCTGAACAACGATGGCAAGACGCCCCTGATCATTTCCATTGAGAAAGGTCACATTCGAATCGCAGAAGAGCTATTAGCAAAGGGAGCTAAAATTAACATAGAAGACAACCAAGGTTGGTCTCCTCTGTTCCACGCTGCAAACACTGGACATTGTCAAATGGTGAAGCTTCTACTCCAAAAAGGTGCAGATCTGAACCAAAAAAACGATAAAAAAATCACTGCCCTCATGATAGCCGCAAAGACGTTGCACACGAATGTTTTGGAGCTGCTACTAAAACAAGACGCTGAAGTCAACGCGGCCACGGTGAATGGATGGACGCCGTTGATGTACGCCGCACAGCACAACCGCCAGGACAACATGAAGCTGTTGCTGAGTTACAACGCAGATCCTGATTTCGCCACCAGGGAGAACTGGACGGCCTTGTGCATGGCCGCGAGAAATGGATCGATTGAAATTGCGAGGCACCTATTGGACAAAAAGGCCAACATCAACCATCAAAACGCCAACGGGTGGACCCCATTGATGTTGGCGTCACAGGAGATAGACCATAGGACCGCAAAGCTATTGGTGGAGAGAAGTGCTGATTTGAACCGACGCAACAAGGATAAGCTAAAAGCCGTTCAAATAGCAGCGAGCAGAGGGTTGAAAGACGTCGTTAAAGTATTGCTGGACAATCCAAAAGATGTGGAGTTCATTAAGAACTGCCAGTCTGCTCTTTTTATGGCTGCGAGTCGTGGGCAAAAGAGTGTTGTCGAATTACTGATATCAAAGGAATTCAACACTCGAGGAGGAAGCAAAGCGCTGGTGCTGGCTGCACACAAGGGACACGCCGATATTGTGAAGCTGTTGCGTGACAACGGAGCATAGTTGAATTACAAAAACGAAGACGGGTGCAGTGCACTGGTCGCTGCCGCTGCACAGGGATACGTGGAGATAGTCAAACTGCTCCTTGGACCCAAACCCGACATCGACTTACTATGCAGTATTGAGCACGGATCGAGGCTGTTCCCGAATTTTAAGAACAAAAAGCAGCCGGCTATCTCTGGAACAGTCGATGGGGTTCTGAAGCTGTCCGTAACGGCTCTACACGCGGCTGTGTTGTTTGGACGCGAGGATAGTGTGAAAGCTTTAATAGATGCGAAGGCTGACGTGAACAAAGCCAACAAGAACGGCACCACACCACTGAAGTTAGCTGCACTGAGGAAAACTGACAACATTACAAAAGCTCTGAAATGTGCTGGCGCAAAAGAAGACATCTGTTCGAAGGCCTATGAACCTTTATATGAGTTTATGCTATCTATTCTCCCGGAGGGAGGTGGAGCATCTGGGCATTCCCACACACCACCACCCTTGGAAACCGAAGCGAGACAATCGAGTTCAGCGGACCTTAAGCTAAGCAGCAGCAGTTGCTTGCCAACACCATCAGCTGATGCTAAAAACGGTAAGATTGGCTCCTTTTTAACTGAACAGTGATGATGCTTTTAACGAATAATCCTCTACATTAGCCCCCCCCCCCCTTTATTTACAGCCCTTTTGTTTCTTATTTCATTAATCTCCTATTTTAATTTTAATTGGCTCGTTGTAAACAGTGCCTAACAAAGGACGATACCATAGAATCAACAATATTAAAGATACGACCCAAAACAGTTTCTAGTTACAATTAATAAGATTTATTAAGTCTAAAGATAATTACAAAAGAAAAGAAAATATACTTACAATCTTCGACTTACAGTATGGTAGATCTTGTACCGGTACACAGTTAATACAGTTAGAATAAGGTGCCAATGAATAAGGCGAAATAAACATATATGAGCACACAAATACACAAAGAATAAAACACGCCTCGTAATGTTAAGAAAATCTATCTGAAAAATCTCCCTTTTCGTCCGTGCCTGTCAATCCCTTATATAGGTGGGTCTACCGACGCCTAAGCCCTGCCTTCGATAAGCTACATGGCATTTCTAGAACCATCAGATTCATTCTACAAAATACTACTTGGAACAGATTAATTATTTTTAGTTGCTGGCGGCATAAACAAGAATACACCAAAGGCCTAAGCCGCACCGCTTTGTGAATACAGCGTCTCATGTGGGGTCAATCATAGGGCACGCACTAGAAAAAATTATGTAAACAAGCTCTCTATAACAAAGACAGTGTAACTTAAAGTCAAAAGTACTTAGTCTATGTAATTAACGAAATGGATATACATTGGGTGTGGTGATACAATTTTGTCTTCCGGTTACAAAAATACATCATATTATGTCACGCTTCGCTGAAAAGTCTTCATTTCATTCTAAAAAAAAGATACTTCTATCAATCAGTTTTACAAATTAAGTTCTACCACACCCACTCCGACCCTCCCAAGTAAACAAAATCATATTCAAAAGCAAAATTCAGATACAGGAATCAATATTGTTTTTGTTGTATCACTCTCTGCTCAAAATATTGTTCCCTTCTTAAATTCCCCCCCCCCCCCCCAAACCTTTTTCAACGTCTTTGCTACTTGCATATTCTTAGGATAATTTTTTTTTTAAAGTGTAAATCATTGTGGGTGATAAATTCTTTCTACAGTGGGCAATATTACTTGTAGTTATAACTGTGAAATGATGGAAAGGCTATGACATTAATAACACTTTTACTAATGCAGCAAGATAAATAGACACAAGACTATGATAAACAGACGGTATAGTATAATACATAGACGCCAAATTATGAAAAAAGTAGACGATACAGAACGATAAATAGGCACTAAAGTATAATAAATAGACTCAACCGTTTGATATATGCATGTTATAATATGATAAATAAACACTTAAGTGTGATAAATAGACGGTAACGTATGATAAATGTAATCTACAGTATGAAAAGTAGGCGCTACAGTATGATAAATAGACACGCAGCATGATAAATAGACGCTACAATATGATGAATAGATGCTACACATAGCATAATTTTTTTGTTCTTATTAGTTTTCAGGGTATTCTTGTGTTATATTAAAATACATGCTTATTTTGGACAAGTGTAAGTGAGAGATTTTAACTTTCCGGTTATATTTTTCAATACATAAAACACTGTGCTTGTTCCACAGAGTCAAATGTCCAGCAACCGGTATTCTCGGAGCAAAATTGTAACACACCCGGCATGTCGCCTGCTTGGTTAGTTCAGAAATAGTTTGTCAAATTATTTATATCTTTTCAATAACATATTATTATTTATATCGAAAACTATTTTAATAATTTTTTTTTTTTTAAATTATCGTATTAAATAGTATGACATAACCAAAAAAATTATAATTCTTAGAAGTAATGAGCCACAGTGTAAAAGGGATATTTAATGAAAAACAACAAAATAATTATATTTAAAAAAAAAAATAAATGGAAGTGAGTTGATGACACATAACTAAATTATTTGAAAGGAAGCATACACAATTTTAAAATAACACACAAAGTTTAAAAAAAACACAAAAAACTTTGTATGCATATTTGTTGTCAAAATTGTGTAACGTCATATATACAAGGCTACCCAATTAATCTCCTAACGAAAACCAGCACCCATTGAACACATTATTAACATCTCCTCACCCCCCAGGAAAAAAACAATTTTTGGGGATTTGGGTGTGTGGCTAAAAAATTTGGTAGCGTTGTCATTGCCTACCAGTCTATGTGCTAAGTTTCAGCTCCATAGGATTACAGGAAGTGGGTCCATTGGCCTTCCAAATATTCGCGACAGCAAAGAAAAGAAATAAATACACGAACAAAGGCGAATTTACTATAAAATATAAAGTAGACCAAACTGAAAACCCTCAAGAGCTAACTGAAAATTCGCTACTTGCCGCTATTTTTATTGGTAAAAATGTGTACCACTGATTTATAAAATGCTTCACGTTTTCCAATATATTAACCTTTTGAAAGTAATAAATATCACATACATTATTTTCGACGCATTCTTATTTGAAAGTATCCACTAAAAGGTAATATTATTATTTATTATTTTTAACACAAAAGAAGAACATGAAAATAGTCTAACATACAGACGTTTTTTTAAAAGATATTTTTTACTATTAAGTAGTATAAATTGATAAGAAATTCCATATCCAAATGTATTTGTGTATTTTCTTTTTTATTTTTTAAATTTCTTTTACAGTCAAATGAATGCTCAAATCATGTAAGTAAATTAATTTTGTTTCAATATACATTATATACATATATATATATATATATAAATAGATATATATATAACATACATATATATATATATATATATATATTCAGAAAGGCTAACATATACTACGTAAGCATTGTGTGATGCTGAGCGGTTGGTTAGATAGAATCTCCCACTCAATGATGTATAAGTAGATAATAAATTAAGGACCAAGTGACAATGATGAGAAGGATATAGTAGAAAGAGGCACGTGGAAGCTAAACAAATAAAGAGAGGACATGAAAAGAAGAACGTTTCGGCCACGAGCCTTCCTCAGCAGACATGAAAAGAAGAAGAACAACAAGTAAAAGAACGTTGTTGAAAATTTCGGATGTTCCCCATTAATGTTATTGTGTAAAGTTGGGGAGTTAGAGTCTCCCATACATATGTGCAGAGGTTACATTTCACATATGTTGACATTTTTTAACGAAAATAAATTGTGCAATGTTATGTACCAACATTTTTTTTTTATCGATATAATTTTTGACCCCAAATTTAAATCCCAAATATCTATTATTTTTATGGTGGTGAGATAATGTTAGTTGTTTCTTAGAGGTGATATAATGTTGGTTCCTGAAGGTGATAGAATTTAGTTCTTGGAGTTGATAGAACGTAATTTGGTTCGTGGAGGTTATATAATGTTAGTTGGTTATTGAAAGTGATAGAATCTTAAATGGTTCTAGTATATGATAGAATGCTAGTTGGTTCTTAGAGGGGATACAATGTTAGTTTGGTTAGTGGTGATAGAATGTTCGGACTTGAAGGTGATAGAATATAATTTTTTTTTCTATGATGTGATAGAATTTTTGTTCCTTTTTGTGAGGTGATAGAATGTTATTTTGTTCGTGGAAGTGATAGAATTCTTTTTTGTGCTTGTATTGATACAATTTTAAATTGAATAATGATGTGTTCAGTTTTTTGTAATGCATTCCATTCATAGACGCCTTCAAAATATACATACACCTTTCAAATCTTTTAAATAACTCAGACGTTATTTTAAAAAAAAAATACAAATTACTAAAAGAATATATGTAAAATTTCACTGGGTTAAAAAAAAAATATTGCCTGAAAACACCACTTCTAAAACTGTGGTGCACTACATTACTGTGTCAGTGGGGAACATATAGATATATATATATAAATAGGTGTTTCTTTAAAAATATATATATATAACTGCATGAAACTCCTTTACACATTGTTGCAGTATATTTTGAGCAAAAGTTTTAATTATTCTTAGATTGTAAAAAAAATAAAAAATTAAAAGATACTTGTCTCATTGTATATCATCTTTGTTCCACCCTAGCAATATCTACCCCCAGCAATGGACTATTGACGGCAGTACGAAAGTTGACATAACAAAAGCGGAAACTATTGGCATACACAGTGTCCTTAACAATGACTCTCAAAATATGCCAAAAGAAAATGTTAAAGAAGATTAAAATGAAAATGCATCAATGAAAAAAAAAAAAAAAAAGCTAAATTTTTTTTTCTTTTAATGTCTTATTTCATTAAAATATTTCATATTATTTTTAGTTTGATATCTAAACAATGACTCTCAAAATATGCAAAAAAAAAATGTTAAAGAAGATTAAAATGAAAATGCATCAATGAAAAAAAAAAAAAAAAGCTAAATTTTTTTTTCTTTTAATGTCTTATTTCATTAAAATATTTCATATTATTTTTAGTTTGATATCTTAATTGATCTTTGTTAAACCAACTTGTTATTGGATCGTTACAGTTCTAAAATGTGTACACACGTTGATGCGAAGATGACTTTGAAAAACTGTATTGACAATAATGCTTGAGTTAACAATATTTTGTATAAAAGATATTTTTCTTTAAAATATATAATCAAACAACAACATTTCCATTTTAACAGAGACCATTTTAATCAAGTTGCAACGTGTATTTATATATATATATATATATATATATAATATATAAAGAACTTAGAAATATAAAATTATGTATTTTTATAAACTATTTTGCTATTTATTTTTATTTGTGAAATTTGATCAATAAATTAAATATAAATTCATAGTTTTAGCGTAAACATAAGAATAGAAAATGAAATAAACAATTTGTAGTATAATCTAAATAAGATTTATGGTAGTTGATTTTCAAATGAAGTATACATTAATAAAACTATACTTTTTTCATCTAAATATATTTTACTAAGTTTTATTTATTTTTTAAATGCTCGTCACTACTAAAAAAAAACAGAGGTAATGAAAAAAAAATATACCACGAGCTATTAAAATGTATCATTGTTCACGTAGTTTCAAGTGTATTTTAATTATAAGCCTTGTTTCATTCAATATTTGTTTGCCTTTTGTATGTATAGGTTATCATACCAGGATTCTGTTTCATTCTAAACCTTTATTCGATATCGACCAATCTATATGGATACATGTGTTAGTTATTTTATCATCCAAGGATAATGTTTTAGATGACTCCTTAATTATTTTATTCGCCACTTTTTACTGACAAATTTGCATTAAAAATTATCATAGAAATGATTCTGATTTAAAGTTATCACAATAGGATTGGTTTTTATAAATTATTACACAAGCACTGAGCTTTACAAATTATGTTAAAAGCATTGTGTTGTATAAGATATTATATGAGGATTGTGTTTTTAAAGTTATCATACATGACTTGTGTCTTATGAGTATCATATACATATTGCTTTCTTATAAGTTATGATACAAGTTATTAGTACAAGGATTGCAGTTAAATTTTAGCATAAAAGGAATGAGTTTTATAATTTGTCTTACATGGATTTAGTCTTTTAAGTTATCATAAAAAGATTGTGTTTTTATTATATTACTTGAATAACTTTTATATTATATATTCAATGCTAAGGAAATAAGATATTTGAATTGAAATGTAAGTTGAATGTGATATTGAAAGGGTGTAAAATAGGGTTCATTTAGATCAGTAGGTCACGCACCCGGGCTGTGTTTACCCTGTGCAAATCGTTAACGGGTAATAGAAGTCGTCTGATGAGTCTCAGCTCAGCCACCTGGTACAGGAAAACCTCCGTTCTGAGACACTCTCTTAAACGATTTCCGTCAACATACGACCGGAAAAAAAAACCAATCACTAATGCGTTGTACTATATAAACGGCCTCTCTTAAAGGACTCCCTCTTAAAGGACCCTCTCTTAAAGGACCCTCTCTTAAAGGACCCTCTCTTAAAGGACTCCCTCTTAAAGGACCCTCTCTTAAAGGACCCTCTCTTAAAGGACCCTCTCTTAAAGGACTCCCTCTTAAAGGACTCTCTCTTAAAGGACTCCCTCTTAAAGGACCCTCTCTTAAAGGACCCTCTCTTAAAGGACCCTCTCTTAAAGGACTCCCTCTTAAAGGACCCTCTCTTAAAGGACCCTCTCTTAAAGGACTCCCTCTTAAAGGACCCTCTCTTAAAGGACCCTCTCTTAAAGGACCCTCTCTTAAAGGACCCTCTCTTAAAGGACCCTCTCTTAAAGGACCCTCTCTTAAAGGACCCTCTCTTAAAGGACCCTCTCTTAAAGGACCCTCTCTTAAAGGACCCTCTCTTAAAGGACCCTCTCTTAAAGGACCCTCTCTTAAAGGACCCTCTCTTAAAGGACCCTCTCTTAAAGGACCCTCTCTTAAAGGACCCTCTCTTAAAGGACCCTCTCTTAAAGGACCCTCTCTTAAAGGACCCCCTCTTAAAGGACCCCCTCTTAAAGGACCCTCTCTTAAAGGACCCCCTCTTAAAGGACCCTCTCTTAAAGGACCCTCTCTTAAAGGACCCTCTCTTAAAGGACCCTCTCTTAAAGGACCCTCTCTTAAAGGACTCCCTCTAAAATGCAACTTGCGACTTTCAAATAATTCAATTTTACGACCTAGCGTCTAAAAAAATTCAAACGCAGTGCTATAGTTGTGCACTTGAAGATAACCGTATCCGGAAATTTGATCGAAAGAAATTTCGTCGACGGTAAATTGATCGACGGTAATTTGATTGTTTATTTTGAAATAAATGAGGAACAGGTAGATAGCGACCGTATTGGTTGTGAGACAGAGGTGAATCTATATTTCTGATATTAGAAAGATTCTAGATATTGCCTCAAAGATATGTTGCGCGGTTTTTTGTTGTTTTTTTGGTATTAATTTTAGTTGTTGACACAATTTTTTACACGTCGTATTTCAAAAATGTCGTACGTATTTTTGAAGACATCCCCTATTTAAGACCTCGTGTTCATGCCAATTTTAAGATGGTATACGGAGGTTTTACTGTACTGCGCATTAGATTATTTTACTTCTTCTCCAGATAGCATTTTTGTTTTTTAATTAATTTTTGTCCACACTCCATACAGTAGCTAAAAAAAATGTATATATAATTTTTTGGACAATGTGTCAGATGAATAAATTAACAAACGCGTTAAATGAGCAGAATCATGCTGCAATGTCAAATAAACGATCAATTTGAAAATGGAATAAAAAAAATCTTTTATAAATATGCTTAAGAACAATTATTTATATTTGGAATGTACAACAAAATCAAATACAATTTCTGTAAATGAAAAACTTGATTTAAAATAAAAATGAACACCACAAAAACAAAAATGAAAGGAACCAAGCGGCAACAAAAGATTGTTTACTCCATTAACTACACATCACATTGACAAAGGTGCTGGGTGGCCAAGTGGTCTAAACTGAGCAAATATCAAGTTGGTGGTCTCGAGCTCAGTCAAGCAAAAACACCACCAGCATCCCCGGTGGATGGGACTCGTTAATTTGGATGGTAACTCATCTAAGAGAAGGAAACTCTGAAATCAAACCCGGAGATGGAGTCCCGCAAGGCAGATAACATTGGTACAATGAAACATTCCGACAACTCCTGCGACGTCACTGGTGCCAAGCTGTATCATCCAATGATGTTCCCTTGGTTTCTCCAGCGGCGTGGAGAGAGGCAATTTGCTGTTGGAAACAAGCTTATAATCCTTGAAGAATAATCCCAGGCCATGTGAATTTCGTCCTCCGAAGCCCACTTTATCGTCACATTGTGACGAACGAATGCCAGCAAAAAAAAAAAAAAAAAAAAATTTAAAAAAAAAAAACAAAGGAAAAAAAAGGGGTAAATTTAAAAAACAAAAAGAAAAATCAAAATGAAAAAAAAAAAAAAAAAAAAAAAAAAAAAAAAAAATTTATTTAAAAAAAAAAAAAAAAAAAAGTTTCACAAAGACAACCACTGGGTAAAAAAGGGGTACATTTCAGAGTCTAAGTGGAAAGTCTATATGGTATGAACACACAAAAAGAAAGAAAAAAAAAAAATTTATTTATAAAAAAATATAAAATGCTAAATTAAAAAGTAAAGAGTGTTCAATACTGACAAAAAGACGAGAAATCAAACTTAAAAAACTAGAATTAATGATTGAATATACATGAATTTTGTTAAAAGATTCTCAGAAAAAAAAGTGAATCTGAAATCGATTCCCACAAAACCCCAAATCCCAACTGCCTCCAAAAATTGGAAGAAGAAGAAGAAGTTATTCATTCAAATGCCTGAGTCAAAAACACATCTTCTAATACTCTGACGCTGTTCATAGTTCAAGGGCGAGACAAGGTCGTAGATGGGGACTATTCTGCTGTCGTCCAGGACGTCGTGCAGGTAGGAGGGGACGTTGTTTATTTGCGACTCTTCGACCAGGACGAACACACGTCTCTGGTTGACCGGACCTACAGAGTGGCTGGCGTACTGGTATGGAAGACATTAAGAAATAATAACGAAGACAAAACACGGCTTCATTTTCACTATCCCCATTTATCTCAGACGAAAATGTTAAAATAGTGATCTATCATCTATCTATCTATCTATCTATCTATCTATCTATCTATCTATCTATCTATCTATCTATCTATCTATCTATCTATCTATCTATCTATCTATCTATCTATCTATCTATCTATCTATCTATCTATCTAATATATATATATATATATATATATATATATATATATATATATATATATATATATATATATATATATATATATATATATATATATATATATATATATATATATATATATATATATATATATATATCCAAAGCAACTCTGCTGCTCTTGTTATTTGAAACTTATTATAATTTAACATATCCTTACAAGTTAACCCATTTATAAAATCTAAAATTGCAAAGCTGGCTAAAAGGCCTCACAGATAAAAATTCGACTTGGTCAGTTACCTTCATGACGATGCTTGCCACATTATAGTGGTTCAAGAAGTTGTCCGTTATCAGCAGAAGAACTCGCCAGCTGTCTTGTATTGCCTCGTAGAACAACTGGTCGGTGAACCCAGCCGTCAGGTCACGCTGGTGGACAAATGTGGAGACGCCGAGCTCGTCTTCCAGGAATCTAAAACATGACACTTGTAAAATTTATATGAAGTCATTGGCAGTGGGTTTTAAAATGGAGATAACGAAAAGCAGCTTATATTTTATTGTGATACTAAAACAAAAATAAATCCAACAGCATTTTAATTACAAGAATACAGAAAACAAAATATTGTTTTACTTTCTGATTGAAGAGGTAAAAAAAAAAAAAAAAAATATTATCTTTAATGAAAAAATTCAATAACCTTAATTTTGATAAATGTAAATTTTAAAATAATAAATAAAAAAAAAATAAAACCAAAATCATTTTAAATACAAAAATAAAAAAAAAAAAATATTTTTTTACTTTTTGATTGAAAAGGTAAAAAAAAAAAAAAAAAAATATTATCTTTAATGAGTAAATTCAATGACCTTAATGTTGATAAATGTAAATTTTAAAATAAGAACACTTGTCTTTAAATTTAAGCATATTTAGCTATTACATATAATCGGTTGTTTGAATAACTGCACTTAATTTGCACATATCTTGAATTCAGCAAAGTTCCTGCTAAAAATTGTATTGACTATTTCTTACAACATAGGTATCGACATATGTAATTAAAATATTATCTTATTATAAAGGCATAAAATATTGCACTTTATTTTTTAAAGAATATAAAAAAAAAATAACAAGATAATTTGAAGATAATCAAGCAATTTATCGTAGCCGACACCCAACGTAAGCCGCAGTCGGTATCTAATGAGTAAGGAGTAATTAAAAATTAATAATTACTAATATAATATGTGTTTTTGCACAAGGAATATCATGACTGCCTCACCGAGTCAGGTGACGAACGACGAATCTATAATCATCGTCTGCGTAACCCACGAAGACACCAAACTTGTAATCGTCACGTTTCATAGTTCTAAACTGTGGAGCCACAAGGTGAAGGACATATGCCAGGATCGAAGTCTTAAATCTGCCCAGCAGGTACACGCACAGGAAACCCATCGTCATCACAGCAGCCAAAATCAAGCTGATCAGTAGCACGTTTCTGGAAATATTTATCGTTAAAATAAAAAAAAATGTATAAAGAACAAAGATAATTTTTATTTCAATGTATACAGTTTTTTTGTTCGCATTAACATAGCGTTATTTTATTAAAGTGTTTACAAAATATAATTCTGAAAAGTTTACACTTATTAGTTAAAAAATAGAAATAATTTAATGAAATTTTTTTTTTAAAAAAAAGGTCATTTATAGTGCTTTGATGAAAAATTTTACGAAGATCTTGTATATTCAAGTGAACTTAAAGATTTAAATTTCTTACTGATATGTGTTAAAACCTTTCTTTTTTTTCTTCTTTAAACCGAGCCTGGCACGAATGTTATTTCAATATAAAAGAAATGAAGTTAGAAAATATAAATTATTTTAGATCATGCGTTATATAAATTATTTATATTTCAACTACATCCTACACACCTCCTCCAAATAACACTGTGTTATATTTCACCTACCGTCCTACACACCTCCTCCAAATAACGCTGTGTTATATTTCACCTACCGTCCTACACACCTCCTCCAAATAAAATGGTGTTATATTTCACCTACCTTCCTACACACCTCCTCCAAATAAAATGGTGTTATATTTCACCTACCGTCCTACACACCTCCTCCAAATAAAATGGTGTTATATTTCACCTACCGTCATACACACCTCCTCCAAATAAAATGGTGTTATATTTTTCACCTACCTTCCTACACACCTCCTCCAAATAAAATGGTGTTATATTTCACCTACCTTCCTACACACCTCCTCCAAATAAAATGGTGTTATATTTCACCTACCGTCCTACACACCTCCTCCAAATAACCTTGTGATATATTTCACCTACCTTCCTACACGCCTCCTCAAAATAACGTTGCTTTATATTTCACCTTTCTTCCTACACACCTCCTCGAAATAACACGGTGTTATATTTCACCTACCTTCCTACACACCTCCTCCAAATGGCGTTAACATCTGAGAAAGAATCTGTGCTCGTGATGACGCCGTCCTCTGATGTACACGTGTAATTTCCGCCATTGTCGAGGCTCACACGAGTACTGTGGAGCCACCCTGATTTCGTCAGACATTTGTGTAAATGGAAGATGAACGTATGAATTCATTAGTCACTGTTATATTTCATCGAAGTAACCCAATCTGCTTATTGTACCGTTCGTTAGACCAAACATATACAGAATAAACAAATAAAAACCCAAACGAAATTCGAAGTATTTGAACATCTGCCTTAATTCCTAAAGAACTGCGATAATCTTATATGTATTTCCTTGTCGGTCTTCACGTTGTTTGTCTTTACTTCTACTGAACGTCTATTCGTCTTTCAAATCCTTTTTACGGAAGGGCTTTAAGATACTTAGTTTTAATTCATTTATTTTAAAATTCGTCTAATAATAAATGAGCTGAATAACTAGGTGTACGAAGGCTGGTCATCTTCGCATGCAAAAATCAAATATTCATAAAGTCAATACGCTAAAAAAAATCATAAAGGAATATATACTAAATAAATGGTAATTTTAAAAAAAGTAAATTATAAATGAATAAAAAAAAATATGATCTACTCCAATTTCTTCAGGATCTAATTAAGATTTTTCAGCACATTCTTAACCGATAACTACTTTTTTTAATTTAAAAAAGAAATACATTATTAAAAGCTTAAAACAAAAGATTTTACCATTCAAATCGATTGAACTAAAAAAATCGTTATTATATTTTAAAATGATAAAAAAAAAACAACTAAATAAAGTACCTATTCTATGAATATTTACCCAAGAATTGAATGTCTGAGCACAGACACAAGATGGCGTTCCCATTTAATTTGAGAGTGAAGCCTCCAAGAAGCCTCTCTTGTTGATCCATGTCATCCATCTCATTGTCTTTCAAAAACGAAACCGCGTTATCACTTAAGTCGAGGAATTTCAACTTGGGTAAACTTGAAACCTCAAACGGGATGGTCGAAAAACGGTTCTTCGCAAGGGACAAATGTTCAAGATTATGTGAGGCGGAGAAAGTTTCTGGCGGTATTGCGTTCAGATTATTTCTGGAAATATCCAAATAGGTCAGCTTAGTTAAATCTCGAAGAATCCGTTTCAAAGACACAGTGGTCTCAAAGTAGTTGCTTGGAAATATGGAACTCAAAATTAATACTTCCAAATTCGGAAAATCATTAAAGAACTCTGTCTCCACGTCGAATCCTGAACCCGAGGCATCGAGGAATTTTAAACTCTCAAGGCCGAGCACCCGTTGATTCGTTTTAATGAAATGTGGCATATTTGTTAAGTATAAATCCTGAATATTTTCTACATCACAAACAAGCCAAGTGGTACCAGAAACTATGTATGGCCCAAGTGTTACCAAATCAAGTCGAATCGTTTTGATGCTTTTTGGAAATCGAATCCAAAATATTTTCTGAACACCAGTTGCAATTAAGTCACCTACAGTGTATGTAATACGCTTCGAGTTTTTAAAAAGATCATCAGGATTTTTAAAAGACAGAGCAATTTCGTTTTGATCTTTCATATAATTTTTAGCACCGTGTTTGATACTTGAGCTTAAAGGCACTGTATGACTTTCCTTGTACCACGAGAATTGGCCCGTCTGGGTGTATTCTTCGATCGCACGCAGTCGATGAACATCGAACAGCAGCCCTCTCCACCCTGAGATGCCTAAAATATTTGCTGAAAAATCCAAAGTTCTTAGGCAATCTTTAAGGGGCCCTTGGAGAAAAGACCCGGCTTCAATGGCAAAGATATTACTCCCAGATAGAACAAACTTGGCGACACAGACCTTGGACAATGGCGTTAGAAGTTTTCTTGTGAGAATCCCGTCTTTGAATGTTAACCTCGGCGACTCTGAATAACGAGAAAAACTAACATAATTGATATTAATTTCTTTCATCGTCCTGTTACCAAACGGCCAAAGTGTTTCCAGGACGTTGTGGTTCCCGACATGGAACGAATCGATGTAAAGCGTCTCGATCTGGGTGACGCTCTGAAACACAGACGTGGGTAAGACTGGCTTGTAGGCATCGAACGATTTGGTCATCACCAGGCCCTTGAGTGTCGTGTTTGTCAGACCAATGAAACTGTCGTTAAAAACTGTGAGCACAGCAATGCAGTTGACCTTGAGCCAGGTCAAATGTTTAAATTTTGAGAATTCCGGCCCCACGTGAAGCTCCGGCAGTGCGTCTATCGCTAACCGTTTCACCATCGGAAGGTGATCAAATATATCGATTACTTTCGGAAAGCGGGTTTCAGACTTGTTCGGAATTAACCAAGTAGTGCCATCGATGATCGTGTTGTCAGAAATGTAAAGCTCTTCTAATTGTGGAACATGACTAAATAGCAGTGGAGGAAAGGCTTTGTTCAAAATGGGCAGTATGTTGTCTTCTAAATCCAAGATATATAACCCTACCAATCCTCTTAGGGCGTTCACCTTTAAAGGAAATTTCATAAAGATTAAGAAAAAGATGAAAACTAAAACTATTTTATGTACGACCACAAAAAAAAGGTATCCTATAAAATAAATTATAAAAAATAGAAAAATTAATCGTACGTTAAGAATGCCTTTACGATAACGATACGTAATAGTAATTATTTAATGTTTTTTTGTATCCCTTTACAAAAGCAAGTGTCCTTTTTATGATTTGGCAGTTCAACTTTATTACCGAAAAAAAAACCCACTAATAAAACACATAATTTTTAAAAAAAATTATTTTCAAAATTATAGAATGTGACTGCTGATTTAATATACAGTTTGAACAGCATCTCAAATGTTTCAAACAGATAATCTTAAAAGAAATTGCAAACCAATTTTTTTATAGACTTAACTGTATTATTAAAAATTAAAAAAAGACTAATCGCTTACCTGTATCGCATGTATATTCGATGACCGTATGCTCAGGTAGCATAAGTTCGTCATGTTTGAGAAGGTGTCATTCATTAAGAGCTTGAAGTTATTGCCGTCCAGGATGAGGGACGTTGTGTTGGAAGGGAACCAGGTTTGGTTGATGAAGGTCAGACCTCTTTTCGCGCAGTCGACCAAACTTCCATTGTAGACATCATCGATATGAAGGTCACAGACTGACCCGCCATATTCCCCTACGCTGTCCGCCAAAGCGATGGTGGTCATCTGCGACCTGGTCGACCTCCATCCAATCGGATGCTCGTTTGAGTGTACAAAGTCAGGCCAAGTTTCCAATAACACGAAGTTCAATAAAATCAACGTACAGATCTGAACCATTTTTTTAAATTCCTCTAATAAGCGCACCTGTAATATTTGGTTTGAATATTGATAAGCACAAAGTTAAGCAAGTTTTCAAGTTTCCTTAAGATCGTTTTATGTTAACATAATTAGATAACATGACATGAAATGGGACAAATCAGATAGAAGGAGTACAGTTATCTATAGCACGGAGTTTCTAATTATATCATGCTAAGAACAAGGAAGAAATGTTACATATTAATGAGATTAAAATCTGTGTTGAAATAGATCATTACTGCCATACAATGAAAGGCAACCGTTAAATTAATGTTTTTTAAACGTGTATATTCCTTTTGAGAAATTAAAAAGGAATCAAAGATATCTATTTACTATTAAAATGAGACCAACTGAATCATCTGAACTTAATACTCACTTTTGTGTTGTGACCGAGTCCAACTGCTGTCGGGAGAAGTCTGAGCAGCACCCGAGTTGTGATGTCGGAACTGCTGATGATAATCCAAGTTAATCCCCTCCTCTCCCCTCACTCCCCCACCACCCGCCATCCCACCCCATACCCCTCAGTATTATTTGTAACAGACAAGTCATTTTTAAATGTAAAAAAAAAAAATGCGCTCTTTGGCCTTTTCCATCTCTATTCAAATTCCCTTCTTAAAAGAGTTTTAAAACATAATTAATTCAAAGCTAAAAATTATTTCACAGACACCTCTGCAAAAAGGGGGAAGTAAAATTTATGAACAAATTGAAATGTTATGATCGTGTATTTTATTGTCTTTATTGTAAATAAATGACGGTGTTTATTTTGCCAAAATGTCAGACTGGGATTTATGTAAAACTAAATATTGGTGTCTTAGTTTTACAAATGAATGTGTTTATTTTGCCAAAATGTCAGACTGTGATTGGTGTACAGTCTAAACATCAGAGTCTCTATTGTACAAATGAAAGTGATCATTTGGCTGAACATTTTTCAGTGACTTTTGTAAAACATGAATAACGGCGATTAGCGAACAGTTTTCTTTGTTGTGTGTTTCTGTTTAACAAATAATTGCAACAAGTTTTGTTTAAAATGGATATATATAGAATATGAAATACCCTAAGTTGTACAAGTTTACGTGTGAACAGACAGAAGCTTACGTTGCTGTATGAAAAATAAACAAGACCCTTACGACTCCTATTTTTAAAAAAAGCGTAAAATACATGCGACATAACGGTAGATATGATAATATATCAATACATTGCTGCAGAGAGGTAGCAGGGCATAAAGTAGAAAGAGAGGTATAGCTGAGCGCGATAGCAAGACATAGCTGTAGAAAGGTATCATGGCATAGCCGTAGAGAGATAGCAAGGCATAGGTGTAGAAGGATAGAAAGGCACAGCTGTAGACGAATAACAAGACACAGATGTAGAGAGAAAACAAGGCATAGATGTAGAGATAACAAGACATAATTGTAGCGAAAACAAGACACAGATGTAGAGATAACAAGACATATATGTAAAGATAACAAGACACAGATGTAGAGATAACAAGACACAGATGTAGAGATAACAAGACATAATTGTAGCGACAACAAGACACAGATGTAGAGATAACAAGACATAATTGTAGCGACAACAAGACACAGATGTAGAGATAACAAGACATATATGTAGAGATAACAAGACACAGATGTAGAGATAACAAGACACAGATGTAGAGATAACAAGACACAGATGTAGAGATAACAAGACATAGATGTAGAGATAACAAGACATAGATGTAGAGATAACAAGACATAGATGTAGAGATAACAAGACATAGATGTAGAGATAGAAAGATATAGATGTAGAGATAGCAAGATATAGAAGGAGAGATAGCAAGACATAAAATTAGAGATAGAAAGACATAGAATAGATAGAGCAAGACGTAGATAAGGTGATAGATAGCAAGAAATAGCTGTAGATAGATAGCGAAGCAAAGCTGTAAAGAGATAGCGAGTCTGTCGCAAAAATAGACATTAAAAAAACCCTTTCGAGATATTTGACTCTAAATTTTACAAAACTCTAATTCTGAAATGAGACATAGAAATTTGAATATCATCATGTGGCTTACCCCGCACCTCCCACCCCACACCAAGGCTGAGGACGTCAACAGGCGCGTATGGATATCTTACGTTGCAAAATGCCAGGAAGTAAAATATTTATGCTCGATTATAAAGCGCAAAAAAATAAATGGATTTAAACTTCTAAACCAGTATGATACAGTTCCATTCATTGATCACTTAAGTACTGTAGCGGTGGAAGGGGGGGGGAGTAGGAAGATGTTGCTAATTTTGTAGGGCCGAGGCGGTGGCACTGCAGAACGTAGGTACATTTTTAAATCATCCTGAAATTCTGACACTCACTAACTTTTCTTCTAATAATGCCCAGTGCCATCTTAAAATCCTGGGAAATCCACAAGTCTATCTTTTTTTTAAAGACATATTTTGCAGTCATCCTCACGCTGTTGTTTTGTGTGACGTAAGTGGTGACGTGATTGTTTCATTCAGCCTAACCAAACAGCTGGATTGGTGACAAAAATCAATCACACAGATATTAACACGCTAACGGCATTGATTCCGAACCTTAAAAAAAAACTAAACAACCTAGTGTATCCCTTAATCACATAAAAGGTTTATAAACTACCCCCACTCCCCCCCACCAAAAAACAAAAACAAAAAAACAAAAATATAGGGTTAGGGAGACGCTTTATGATCCTTTAAATCCAATTTGATTTGAAATTTTACAAAAATGTAGGCCTTAAGATTCACAATTGTAGTGTGAAACTAAACAAATAATAATTAAAAAGGGAGATACGTTTTTTATAGCAATAAATGGAAAAAAAAATGTTTTTAACATTTCAGACCTGCCCCCTCAGCCCTTCCCCCCCCCCCAACGAAATTTCAAAACAAATACGTGTCTTACATCCCAGAGGTTTGGCGCATATTGGCGTGTGATGACAACCCCCCCCCCCACCGGTCCCTCCCTGACGGTTAACTATTTCCGACGCCCGCTACCAATAAAAACTCTGCAAGTTTTCTAAAAATGCCGCTTCCTCAATAAAAAGATCTGCCCAGGGTGTACCGCCTCCCTTTAACCTTCGCCACAATCCCACACACCCAAAGCCCCACGGCCACACAATCCCACACACCCTAAACCCTACAGCCCCATAATCCGACATACCCTAAGCCCCACGGCCACACAATCCCCTAAACCCTAAACCCAACAGCCCCACAATCCTACAAACCCTAAACCCAACAGCCCTGCAATCCCACACACCCTAAACCCCACAGCCCCACAATCCGACATACCCTAAACCCCACAGTCCCACAAACCCTACACCCCACAGCCCCACAAACCCTAAACCCAACAGCCACACAATCCCACAAACCCTAAGCCCCACAATCCCACAAACCCTAAACCCCACAGCCCCACAATCCCACAAACTCTAAACACCACAGCCCCACAATCCCACACACCCTAAACCCCACAGCCCCACAGCCCCACAACCGGACATACTCTTTATATGTCCCACAATCTACAAATTATACCCGTCTGGGGAAGGTTCACGTTAAGGAAAACTGAAACATATCACTTTTTTAATTTTACGTGAAATTGACGTTTAACTATGACTAATAATTATTTGGTGGTGCTGGGTGAGGGCTAGGAGCTCATTCAATTTACTCTAATTTGGAGGCGGGCTCCCCAAAAAATCGAATCATGCAACAACGGGTGGGGGGAGGGTTCCCAAAGTAAAATGAAAGATGAAAAGGGGATCTAATATTTTACGTTTTAGCTTTTTAAATATATATGGATGCCTACTTTATATAAATAAAACGAATAATTTCAACCAGATAATTTTTTTAAAAAATATTTGTTAAAAAATTGCTACCAAATATCCTTATAAAATTTTTACCAACAAAAAGATTGAAAACAAAATGTAAAAAAATTCATCAGGGACATAATTCATAACAATATTTTGAAGCTATTTTGTTTCAACCATGGCAATATTTCTGCGTGATAAAAAACTAGCAAATCTTGTATTTAAATATATCCCTACAAAAATCTTGGTGGTTTATCGTTATAATGTCTTTGACATTTTAAACATAGATCAGCCATAGTGGAATACACGCAGCTGGCCAAAAGCAGGGTTTTTTATATAACAATTAAAAAATCAATCTAAGTTGGTGAAGTCCATAAACACCTTTTGCCTTACAACTGCTTGTCCGCATTTTTTCCCGCCTTAGAATGAACGCCATCTCCACCCCGTCTCTGCGGACGACCTTTACTGACAACACATTAGCTCCAACACAAACGAAGAAATGAGTACAATGATTTTTTACACACACACACACATACACACAATTTCAAAGTTGTACGATTTTCAAATGTTGAGAAACGCTTTTGACAGCTAGTCACTCCAAAAGCCGTGTTTAAATGTCCTTCATTAATCACCATACACTTTTTTTTTTACTTCCTCGTCGTTCTACGCCTTCTTTCTCCTTTACTCTCCCAGTCACAAAACCAACCACCCCCCCCCCCTTTTTTTCCACCACCGTCAATAAAAAAGAGATTAAGAATTTGAAAATTGAAATGAAAAAAAAAAAAATAATAATAATAAAATGTTTTTAAAAAAAATAATTAAAAACAGAATGAACGCAACAGTGACTGTGTGTAAAGACACGCATTGAATTTATTGTAAAGAGAATACCATCATTGTTTTGTTTTCAAAAAGGTTATAGAGTATGATAACTTTATGTCTTTACCTCTCTTTTGAAAAAAAAAAAAAAAAAAAAAAAAAAAACCAACACCANAAAAAAAAAAAAAAAAAATGACAATAGCATGAATATGGCAACAAAAAAAAGGACATCTGTACAGTTTTGGTCTTACTGTACTCTGTTTCTTGTCTAACTTTCTATTTGTCTTTTTCTCCGAAGAAGGCTCTACACCTAAACATTCACATTTTATTGTCTTGTCTTTTGATTTCAGCTTTAACATAACTTGTTTCACTATTAAATCATAAAAATCGTGAACCTTTTTTTTTTTTTTTAAAGTGGATTCTATCTGTTGTTATTTCTTCATTTGTCCTGTCTTTTGAGTAAGACTCTCGGCTGAAAAATTCTTCTTCTTTTATTGTTTCTTTCTTTCTATTTCAAGCTTCCATATACTTTGATCATCTATTTCAGCGGTTCTTAACCTGTGGGTCGCGACCAATTTGGGCGTCGAATGACCCTTTTTCAGGGTTCATCTAAGACCAGCGTAGAACACATATAACTAACATTTATGAGGTGGCCACCAAAATAATGTTGTGGTCGGGGGGGGGGGAGGCGCCACAACCTGAGGGTCGCGGTTTATGGAAGGTTGAGAACCACTGATCTATTTCCTTAACACAGCCTGTAAGCAGTTATTCGTTAATCGTCTTTACGATAAATAATTAAAGAACGGCAAATTAACAAAACAAAAAACAAAAAAAACATAAAAAATATAAACTATTTATTTATTACTTTCTCTCCTCAACCCGACGAGGTAGAGTTAAAACATAAGCCAATGTAAGCATAATATAAAGGCCCTAAAATATAAAATAAAAAGTGTGAATTTTTTAAAGTATTTTTTTCATTGCTACATTTCTTGGACTTAAGAAAATTTAAACGTCATTTTTTTTTTAAAAACAAGTTAAAGCAAAAAAAAAACAAATACATTCACGAAAAAAAAAGCTGGTTGCTTTAGGGTATTTCGTAATTTTAAATTAAAAAAAAAAAATTGAAACTTACGTTGTTCCAGCCAGTGTTCCCCTCTGCTGGTTCGTGTGCAAAGTTTTAAAACATAAATTTTTTTGTGAGCAAAATTTTACAGCCAACAAACACAAACATAAAATTACATGGAAATTTGCTGCGCGGATACTCTAAACTGCTGCGCGGCGTCTGTGAGTTTAACGAAAACGGGAGTTGCCCCCCTTGTGCTTAAAAAAAAAATGGCTATCTATAAAACGCTATTGTTTGCCGTTTAAAAAAAAAAAAAAGAAAGCCACACAACATACAATAGGAAATTATAAGAAAGAATCAAAAACACATCCCTTATGTGAGTTTAACGAAAACGGGAGTTGCCCCCCTTGTGCTTAAAAAAAAAATGGCTATCTATAAAACCCTATTGTTTGCCGTTTAAAAAAAAAAAAAAGAAAGCCACACAACATACAATAGGAAATTATAAGACAGAATCAAAAACACATCTCTTGATACTCTGACCCTGCTCATAGTTCAAGGGCGAGTCAAGGTCCTGCAAGACGACAAGCCTGCTGTCGTCAAGAACGTCATGCAGGTAGTGCGGAATGCTGCTGGTCTGTGTTTCTTGAACGAGCGCGAACACACGTCTCTGGTTGACCGGACTCACAGAGTGGCTGGCGTACTGCAATATGGGGAATTCTCGTAAATATAATATATTCCAGAAAACTACTGGAACAGTGTCGGCTGAATTGATGATCGTAGTAAATGTAAAGACATTGTGGAACACTACATTTAGATCGAAAGCGGTTAGACATTTCAACGCCATGCCCAACCCTTTTTCTAAAAAATCCTTTATATTAACTTTGCTTTTGTTCGTGGCTGTTTGGGTGGCTGGGTGGCGAAATTTTCGGACGCTTAATTGACCTATTTCCCAGTCAACCTATCGAGCTGAAACTTGGCACATTGACTCGTTACCAATGACAACATATTCGATCAAATTTTAAACGCCCCCCCCCAAACCAATCCCATTGTTTTTCAAGGGGAATGTGAGGGAAATATAATGAGGCTGATTTTACGAAATAAAATTCCCGATTCAGGTTTTTTTTTAAAAATTCATCAGTCCCATTTTTTCAGTAATATGTAAAAAAAAAAAAAACTCTACTAAATTCCATAGGAAGCTTTTAAGAAACACTTTGTAGCAGCAGATTGCTGTAGATATAACTTGATGCTTTAATTTACTGCAGAAGGAACTCGATAGAAATAAATGTATGACTATGCCCACCCCAGCCCCGAAGCCATCCGGACAACCTCAAGGTAAAACCCATTCATTCTCACCTTCATGATAATGCTAGCCATGCTGTATCGTTTTAAGAACGTGGCCGTTATAACCAGTAGCACTCGCCAACTGTCTTGTATGGCCTCGTAAAACAACTGGTCGGTGTAGCCAGTGCCCAGGTCACGCTGATGAACAAACGTGGACACGTGAAGCTCCTCTTCTAGAAAACTTTTTAAATATATATATATGAAATATATTTGAAATTTATATATTGTTTGGATGCTTTGGGGTGCTAAACAAATGCCCTACGACAATTACAACCATTTGAAATATGTTTTTTTTTTTTAAACCTATTTAAAAAAGTACAGATTTCCCGTTTGGAAGATATGAAACAATTACATGTCTTTAAAAATATTACTTTTTAATAAGACTATCAGGTATATTTTATTTCACCTATTGTCTGTTGAACTTAATTTTTGAATGTATTTCTACAATAACGTGTTTTATACGTCCTCGGTATACTTTTACTAACTATTTATATCTTTACTTTGCAACAAAAAATTGGAGAACACTAGCAAGCATTACGCAGAACGTACAAAGCTTCATAAACTCTTGCTTTAAAAAGCTCCAGAACATCAAATTGCCAAACACCATCACAAACAAAGACTTACTGGAAATGACAAACCAATAGCATATTGCTTGAGATATCATAATGGAAATGACTGAGATGTATTGAGGACACTCTCCGTAAACCCCCAGATAACATCATCAGAAAATTCCTAGCATGTAATTCACAGGGAAAAAGAAAGAGGGGAAGAACTAGGAATACATGGAGACGCGAGCTAGAGGCAGACACACAAAGTATGAGATACACATGGAAAAAAATGGAAACTAAATTAAGCGCTCGAGAGAAACGGCTTTTTTTGTAGACAAGATTTGCCCAAAGATTTAAAAGGTAAAAGTATGAAAGTAGATTTGTAAAATATAGTAACAATTATTAACCGTATTAAGAAAGTATCAAAGTTCCGTAATGTTTTTATTTTTTTTTAAATTCCGATAGTATAAACTAAACATATAAACTATTTATAAAAAAAAACTAAGAAAAACTTCTAGGTCATCTTTATTAAAATATAAAGACGTTAAACAAAGCCTTATCGTTAAATATTTTTTTTTTTTTTTTAAATTTCTCACCGGGTCAGGTGGCGTACTACAAATCTGTAATCCTCGTCTGCGTAACCAACAAAGACGCAAGTCTTGTAATCTTCACGTTTCATGGTTCTAAACTGCGGAGCCACAAGGTTAAGGACGTATGCCAGGATGGACGACTTAAATCTGCCCACCAGGTACACGCACAGAAAGCCAATAGCCATCACCGCAGCCATGATCAGGCTAGTGAGCAGCATATTGCTGGGATTGGAATCAGGCAGTGAATAAAAATATAAACTGGTCTTATTTGATTGATTTTGTCCAACGCATTGACTTTGCTTGAACAGGAATACGAAAAAAACGCGATTTAAAAGATGGACTCAAATACGAGAGTTTGTGGAAATAAGCATTCACTGAATTAAATGGTAATGAAAAAAGAATAAACTCTTTAAGTTAAATAATTTCAAAATATGCTAATGTCTCATTTTTTTAAACGGACAAAAATAGTGTGTTATTAAGAAATGTCGCTCATACTGTTCATTGAAATACTTTTAAAATAATTAAATTTTCCTAATTATTTATGACTTGCTCATACCCTTTTTACACTAGTGTTGATCCCACGCATTCTCGATGCCGAGGTGACATTACCGACATGCTATCACTCACCTCCCTACACACACCCTCCACATCGCCTCAGCATCTGAGAAGGCCTCTGTGCTCGTTATGACGCCGTCCTCCGACGTACATCTATAGTTGCCGTCGTTGTCAAGTTTTACTAAAGTGCTTCGGAGCCAACCTGTACAAACAACAACAACAACACATCTGACATTACTCATAGCTTCTGATAACGAAATGATATTAAGTCAGAATCTCTGCATAGACGCTAACATCAGAATCATGGCCTACATCAGGTTAGCCACTCTGCATAGACGCTAATATCAGAATCATGGCTTACATCAGGTTAGCCACTCTGCAAAGACGCTAATATCAGAATCATGGCCTACATCAGGTTAGCCACTCTGCATAGACGCTAATATCAGAATCATGGCCTACATCAGGTTAGCCCCTATGTATAGCCGCTAATATCAGAATCATGACCTATATCAGGTTAGCCCCTATGTATAGCCGCTAATATCAGAATCATGACCTACATCAGGTTAGCTACTCTGCATAGACGCAAATAACAGAATTATGGCTTACATCAGGCGTGCAAAGCAAAGATCAAAGAATTTTTGATTGTAAAATTCATACAAGCTGACGACTCAACACAAAGATCATACACAAATTTTTACACTCGTTGGATCCCCATCAAACGTGTACACACTTCGCTTTCGTTCGTGATGCTTTGTGGTGGGACAAATTTTCGGAACTTTAATTGAGGCACTTCCCGTCATCCTATCGCACTTAAACTAGGCACTTATATTTTATTTCTGAAAACCACACATTCAAACAAATTTTCTACCCCATCCGCAACCCCCCCCCCAAAGAAAAAGTATACCTTTTCGTATTTTCTTAAAGTTGTTAAATTTTAATGATTTGTTAAATTGTTGCATTTTGTTTGTTTTTTGGTGTTGACATTGATTGTGTAGCTGTTCCTATGTGCTTTGTATTTGTGGCTTATTTAGAAGTAACTATATTTTCAATCTTTTAGGTCGTACATGCACTAAATGATAACAATGTATTCCCATACGAAAAATCAGTTGCTATAGTCACATAAATGTTCATTGAAACAAATAAAAAAACAAAAATGTACAGAAAGGATTTATTATTTTTTTAAACTTGGTATTAAGGGTTGTCTAATTACGCTCGTGTGTCTCGCCCAACACGCCAATTAAAGTAATGTGACCTTACAGGCCCGTAACATTTTTTCAGTCCACTTCCGAATGAAATGCCTATCTACTTATGCGTCAAATTCGATCTACTTCTTTGCTTATTTTTACCATATCTCTATTAAATATACCAGTTGAATAATTTGTATAACTGAATTTAAATTAGTTTTCCTGAATTTGCAATACTTTGAAGGAAAAAAAAAACGTGCACTTTTTCTTTTTTACCGCTGTCGCTGAAATTCAAATAAAACTATTATAAACAAAATTAAATAACACCTAAAAAAATTTTTAATTTTAGATACACTAATTCTCTTCCAAAATAAAGGAAATTTAATTTAATTTTTTTTTATTTAAATGTTTTTAAAAAATTCCTTTTTTTTTGTACATGCAGGTTATTTGAATTTTATTATTTTGTTTAAATGTATAGTTTCCTTTTTTAGCTTACCCATGAAACGAATATCTGAGCACACACATAAGATGGCGTTACCACTTAATTTCAGCGTGAAACCTCCAAGCCATCTCTCTTGCTGATCAATGTCATCCATCTCATTGTCTTTGAGAAACGGTATCGCGTTATCACTTAGATCGAGAGTTTTCAAATTGGGTAAACTCAACACGTCAAAGGGGATGATAGAAAAACGGTTATTTGCGAGGGATAGATGCCTGAGTGTAGGAGACGAAGAGAAAGTCCCCTGAGGTATAGAGTTGAGGCCATTTCTCGAGATATCAAGATATGAAATCTTTTTTAAATTTCGAAGAATCCGTTTCAAAGACACAGTTGTTTCAAAGTAGTTGCTAGGAAAAACCGAACTTAAGACTAAAACTTCCAAATTCGGAAAATCGTCGTAAAAATAGTCCTGGACGTCAATCTTTGAGCCTGAGGCGTCGAGAAGCCTCAAACTTTCAAGCCCGAGGACTCATGACCAGGATCGGATGAAATTTGGCATGTTGGTGACGTAGATTTCCTCAATATTTTCTGCGTCGACCACAAGCCATAGAGTACCGAATACTAAAAATGGACCCTGTGTTATGTATTCTAAGCGAATCGATTTCAGCTTCTTTGGAAATCGAATCCAAAATAACCTCTGTATTTTAGAGGCAAGCAACGCGTCTACAGTGTTCTTTTTGTTTCTTGAATATGTACCTGCGGTATCATTTTTTTCTCCATTCTCTTCCATAAAGTTATCTTTCTCTACAGAACGTGTCGCAAGATCAGCGTTGTCCTTAGTCTTCAACAACGACGTGTGTGTCTCTCTGTAAAAAGCTGGTATCCCCGTAAGTATGAATTCTTCAATGGCAGTCAGGCGGTGTGTCTCGAACAGCACGCCCCTCCAGGCAGAAATCGACATGTAATTCGCAGATAAATCAATGGTCTTCACACAGTGTCTCATTGCCCCCGTTAAAAAAATCCCAGGCTCAATGGCGAGTAACTTGCTGTTGGCCAGCACGACTTTCCTGACGCACACGTCCCTTAGAGGCGCCACGAGACGCCTTCGCACGATTCCGTCTTCGAATGTGATGGTCGGAGACTCGGCGTAGCGGGAAAAGGTCGCGTAGTTCATCACGATCTCTCTCATGGTCCTATTCGCGAACGGCCAGAGCGCGCGGAGGATGTTGTGGACGCCGACCTGGTAGGTGTCGAAATGGAGGCTCTCAACCCCGGTCACGTGCTGGAAGATGGCCACGGGCAGCGATGCTGCGAATATGTCGGAAGATTTCAGCAAGGAGAGTTCCTTGACCGCAGAGCCGGACAGACCTATGAAACTGTCGTTCAAAGCCACGAACACGGCTATGCAATACAGCTCGAGGCTCGTTAGATGCGTCAGATTTCCGAATTCCGGCCCTAGGTGGAGTACCGGTAGCGCATCGATGGTCAGTTTGTTCAGTTTGAGAAGATCTTGAAAAATATCGATGACATCAGGGAATCGCAGTTCCAGAAACATCTCGGAACGATCTCCGTCGAACCAGTGGTCACTCATTTTCTGAGTATTTGAAGCGATGAACAGTTCACGAAGATTGGGAACATGCCTGAACATTGTCTTGGGAAAAGATTTTTTCTTGATAGGAAGATTGTTGTTTTCCAGGTTAAGACTGTCCAAGTTTGTGAGACCTCTCAGACTGTTAACCTGAAGGGTGAGCTCAATTTTCTTAGAATTTCAATAAAATGTATTGTTTATCCTGTATTAAAAAATAAAACATTAAAAAAAAAAAAAATCTAAATTTGAAAGCTTGTTTTAATGAAAAAGAAAAAAATTAACATTAGTAAATTAATCCAAATATGATATCAGTTATTGACATTGCAAAGACTAACATACGCTTATACTAATGAAATTAAGGAATTAAATTTATATTTTGTCGCCACACAAAATAAATAGGAGGTTTTAGATTATAAATTTAAGTTTAAAATTTGTATAACAATGTCAAACTTATAAGCGAACGTCATAAACTGAGTGATGTTTAAAAAAACAACAACTTTTTTTTCTGTAAAAAAGGAATCCCTCTGTTGTAACGTACACGAGAATAATAGTATGAGAAAATTAGACCAGGAATTACACTAGGAATATCGGACCGTATGGACTTCACTTTTATCGAATTTTTATGAAATTAAACCGTTTATAAAAAAGAGTATTTACGGTATTTTTTCGGAGTCAATCCTTTAAAAATGAATGTCATGTTTAAGCTAAGAACTCATGCAATTTATGGGCCCCATAGACAGATCTACTGATATGTGTATGAAATTGAGACAGCTTTTATTGCATGGAGTGACAATCCTTACCTGCTGTAGCATGCGTTGGCCCAACCGAACAAGAGAAAGTGTTCACCACAAATATCACGCTACAGACACACGACTTACTTCGATAGACTGGACATTGGAGGACCTGATTCTCAGGTTACGTAGGCTCGTCATGTTGGAGAACGAATCGTTGGCCAAAATGGTGATGTTGTTGTCGTCCAACACCAGAGTTGTCGTGTTGATCGGAAACAGACTTTGGTCGATGGATACCAGCCCCCTCCGTGAGCAGTCCACAAATGTTCCATTGTAATCTTTGTCTGTGCTCAGGTCACAGTTCAGCTTTGCGTTAGGCGCAGAATCCATCTCTGGAATCGTAGCGGGAAACTTGATGTTTGATAATGACAGCTGCTTCTTGGATATGTTTTCCTTGGAATGTAACGGGTTTTCCAACAGGCTTGCAAGAATGGTCACGAAAAAAATCCGTAATTTGTTCTCCATCATATAAATATTGAGTGTATAACCGATATATTGTTCAACATAGTTATTTGACAAGTATCATCTTACTGTTTCAAATTACTAATTTTAGTCTTTCCCCAAATAATTGTGTGGGCCTTAAAAAGAAGAAATATAAAATAATATTGTTTGTGTGAAAATAAAAACCAAAAACATAAAGTAACACAAGCCCAGCAGAAAAGTCCTCAAGGAAAACTCATGGTATTAAAGCTACGAATACAAAATATGCTTAGTTGGTATAACACTAAAAGATTCACGCAAAAACTAATTTTGACGAAAACGTTGTCAAAATAAAGAACATGATTCTAGACTCTAGACTATATTGGAGGGGCTTGGAATAGCGATTGTGGGTTTGTTCGGCGCAAGGCGTCTTTATATGGGAGAAGATAACACTCACGTGACAGATTTATGAGCATAACCCTCACTAAAGGGGTGTGGGTGGGGTGGGTGGGGGCCACATCTCTGAATTGGGGGAAAGGGGTGGGAGTGCCGACACCAAAATTGAAATATGTAAATTGAATAGATGCTACGCGTGGCGATTCCTCAACCAATCGTACTTAAGCAAAAGTATGTAAAATATGTAGCCAGCAGAGAAAGTTGCCAGGAGGTCATTAGACTGGGGTGTGGGGGGGGGGTCACTAGACCAAGGGTCGCTAGAGCAGGAGGCCACAAGAGTGGAATGCACCGGGAAATTACATGCAACTTTAAAACTAATATGGTTCAGAATTGTTCAACTAATCTTTAGTTCTTGTTTGTTCTGTTGCAGTGTCGTAACACATTTCGATTCTTTTGGATCGCTAAAATAATGAAAACTTTCTTTAAAAAATACATCATTTGAGTTATGATGTTATAGGTTATTTTATGAAGAAGAGGCTTCTGGGGAGGTCAATAAGCCATATTTTTTTCAGAAGGGGTATTGACACCACGCGATCACTGTAATTGAGGACAGCAACTCTAGTGACGCCCCTGTATAAGAGCTCCGGGAAAGCGCAGCACAAAACAGACACGAACATTACAAAAAACAAAATTCGAATACGGAGATAAGATTGAAATGGTAATTCGTTTTATTAGAGAAACTTCTTAGCCTGTCTGAAAGAGGATGTTATTTTCCGCTTTTTAAGTGCCACTAAAAAAAGAAAATATTACCCAACACAAGCCATAAAATATAATTTTGAAAATAACTGACTGATTTTTTTGTTTGTGTGTCTCCACACAAAAATTCCGAAATGAACAAACACACACACACAGACGCTAATACTAAAACACACCCATGATTTTGTTTTACAATTTTTGCATGATTAAATTTTGAGTATAGAATATAGTATTGATTTGATTGAAATGAAAGTGGACTTCATTGTATGCAAGTAATATAAGGTTTTACAGCTACAAAAAGAAATGAAGTACCAGTTCTATGTAAGTTTTTTGGTGACTACATATGAAATGAAGGTAGGTTTATTGTATGCAAAGGAAGTTATATACATTTTTTTTTGTAAAGGCATTAAACTAATTTTGAATTAATGCTTTGAAAAGCAAATGATAATCATGTTATGTAGAGAAATATTGTGTTAACATTATGTAAAGTAATGTTGCATTTAAGTTTCATAAAGTTATGTTGAATTAACTTTTTGTAAATGGTGCACTAACAATACGTAAAGGAATTTTGTCTTAACTTTTTGTAAAGGAATGTTGTATTAAAGTAATGTAAAGCGTTGTTGTATTAACATTACGCAGACAAATACTTAATTAATTTTGCGAAAAGGATTGTTACAGTAAATAATGTAATGTAATTTTGTATAAACGTTACATCATGGAATAATGTAGTACGTTACGTAAAGGAATGTCGTCTTACCGTTACGTAAATGAATGTTGTATTACAGTTATGTAAATGATTTTAATATTAACACCATGTAAAGGAATGTTGCGTTAAGGCTATGAGGGGGCTAATGGAATTAGGTCCAAATCTGAGACAGGAAGCAAATACTGTCAAGAAAAGGGGCAACAGGAAATAATTGGACCACTACCTTAACTTTGAGCTGGGGTTGGTGGGGGGGGGACACAGTAATTTAATCTTGTGTCAAAACGGTATTGTTACAAACGGAACGTGATCAAGTCATGCGTCACTTGCCCTCAGGGTTAAGAGGGGTAATGTTAAGAAACGTGTGCACGGAATGCGACTCTCTTTAAATGGTTATATACAAACTATGGCAAAAAAGTTGAGTTTCATTACAATACCTGCTATAAGGCATGTTGCAAGTTAGTCCATCAATGCCACGGTAGGAATAAAAATCCTCATTTATGACATAGTATTTAATCTTAGACGAAGAAGGTAGATTTACTAATGGTGGACAATCTTTTGGGTTAGATCAAAGCTGGCCTTTTGCACGAGGACGGCCGCGTCAAATACTATGGCACACAAGGTGTATTAAAAATGAACTTATTTTAAAAATCTATTTTCTACTATTGTCATTCTTTTCATACACACCAAATGAAACTAAAGAGAAATCACTTTTGGAGACTGTGTGCGCCATTTCGGTGTACTGGCTGCGGCTTTGGGCTGATTTTTTTCTAACAGAGGATCAAATAACCCTCTTAAATCTTAATTATAAACGTTAAAACAATATTAATCTTCAGTAACTTCTAAAATATAATGATTTACAGAATCAAAGTTAGGTCAACGAGCACTAGATTTTCACTAGCTTTTCTTGTTTTCTTTTCCGGTTAAGTGTAGCGTGATGCACAAATATATTCAGGTTTTGCGCCTAAATGCATCCATATATATATATATATATATTTACATTCTGGGATGGGACTAGGATCTCTCGCTAAATCCCTCCGCGCCCTTACACTACCCCCATTAGGTCAAAGACGAGCTCCTTTTGATTAGTTAGATAGAACTGAGGAAAGATGCATAAATGAGTAATCTTCCAAATTACATCACAAAATCTATTTACATATGTGACTGCACATAAATAAAGCTATCATCTATAATTATGTGCATTATGAATCAAAATAGTTCTCTAGGTGTGTATGTATGCATGGCGGTAGCGTTGTGTTAAATAAGTGACGCGCAAAATAAAGTGTCTTTTGTCAAAAAAAAAAAAACTTTAGATGAGAAATTGACGCATTGCCAACGCCATTCTTTGGCTGTATATTTATAGTAAATAAACAATTATGTACATAGATTATTTGAAATGTATTTTTTTTACTAGGTTTAATGACATGGGACTCACAAAATGTTCAATTGCAATCTAAGTGGCGCATGAAGAGATTTTGGGTTGGCCACCCCTGACTTACTTTAGTTTGAAAACGTGGACAATAGATGCGTCTTTAAAATCCCATGGTATCTTCTCCAGCAGCCACATTAGTAGGAACAGCCGGTGAAGTCTTTCAGTCAGAGCTGTACCACCTCCCTTGTAAATTCCAGATGGGATTGATTCATCACCTGGAGTTCTGCTACTCATGATATGGCATACAGCGTGTTGCCTGTTGTTTAAGGTTGTGGATGTCTTCAATTACTTCATTGATTGGCACCTGCGGAAGTCGATTACTGGCTTCGTCATTTACAGATAAAAAGCGATGTAGGTTGCTCTCATAGTGCTCTGTACAGTGTTCGATAACGTACTCTGATTATGTAATCAGAATTTTAACATCAGCGCTCAGAAGTACTGATGGTCCTGATTAAGTGGAGTCGTACGCTTATTTGAGAACTGAGTCGAGATTTCTTACATTGTGCCTGTCACCATCGTCCTGCCAAATAAGGCATCTAGCCGAAACGTTCTGCTATTGAATCAAATCAAAATAATTTGAAATTGAATGAGCGAAAATAGTACTAGACAGATAATTTTTCAAAAGGTTTCACTAAAAATATAATGATTAAGAAGAATAAAAGGAACGAACATGAAACCGACCAGAAGTTAACAATTGATAAAACAGTCGGAAGGGACAAGCACTCTAATTATATGAAAAATATTATAAAAGACACTGTGACTGGTTGTAATTTGAATCAATTCAATCTTGTTTTAAGGAGTTCAATCTTAACCAATGATCAAGTCCAGTAACAAAAAATCACCCTGGCTGGATGGGACCCTTAAACTTCGATTGCAACTCATCAAACTGTATCATCTAGGTATGTTGTTACCTTGGACTATCCAAATGCTTGAAGAGAGGCGATTTGTTGTCTAGGTCGAAATCTAACAGTCTTATGGAAAAAAGCTCAGACTTTGTGATTTTGTCCTGCAAAGTCTACACATAGTGTGGGGACAGATGCCAGTAAATAATAGGAAAGGCATCGAGAATTTAGTATTGAAATTCATTCAGGACGAATTGCACGGAAGCAATTCAAGTGTAACATGGCAGCAAGATCTGATGTGAAGTCTACAAATATTAACTTGCGCTGAACAATTAAAAAATACAAAGATGAAGCTTGATGATTTTTCTGATGAAAAGGAAGAACTCTGTCTTTTCTGTGTCGTAAAATGTTATACCATGTATGTTATCTAATTTCTTTCCTTTATACTTAAAAGCTTGTTTACATTTGAATATGCTATAAATGTAAGGTAGGGAATGCACTGGGGAGATGCAATTTCTAGAAGTTCTTTTCTGGAGTGCTCTAACACCAATCCTATAAATAAGCCAGCAGTCTTACCAGCCGGACAGATTGCAAGATTTTCTAGAGTCAATACATATTACGGGTCTGACTTAACTTAAAAGGAGCCTTACAAGTTTTTACTCTTTGTGTGTATCTGTGTATACAAATATTTGAATCTTATGATTTTTTTTTACTCTTTTACTTGTTGTTGGTTAATGTAGTTATATTATCTTAATATTTGATGTTGTATTTTTTAAGATCA